ATTCCATGCTTTTTAATAATGTTTCCCAGTGGCAGCATGTAGAGAGTAAAAAGAATCGGTCCGAGTACCGAACCCTGCGGCACACCGAATTCCACTCCAGAATAAGGCGACGAGTCCTGATTCACATTGACGAAGTGATATCGATCTGATAAATAGGATTTAAACCAGCCAAGGGCTGTTCCTCTAAGACCTATATCACATTCTAGCCTCTGCAGTAGAATGCTGTGGTCTATTGTGTCAAATGCAGCACTAAGGTCCAGTAGGACCAGCACTGACACTTGTCCATTATCGGCAGCTAGTAGTAAGTCATTTGTGACTTTGACTAGTGCCGTTTCAGTGCTATGATGAGCTCTGAATCCAGATTGAAAGACTTCAAACATATCATTTTCCTGCAGGTGGCAGCGGAGCTGCTCAGCTATAAGTTTTTCCAGGATTTTAGATATAAAAGTGAGGTTCGAGATCGGTCTGTAGTTTGTAAGTATTTCTGGGTCCAGGTTTGTTTTCTTCAGAAGGGGTTTGATTACCGCGGTTTTAAAAGCTTGTGGGACATAGCCACATTGTATGGATGCGTTTATTATATTTACGATAGGCTCAATTATCAAAGGAAGTATGTCTTTGAAGAGCCATGTCGGGACTGCGTCTAACATGCAAGTTGAGGCTTTTGAGGATGTGACCACAGAGATCACCTCTGCTTGGCTCACAGCCATGAATTTATTAAGGCCCACTGAAGAGTCTAAGTGGGAAGTCACGTATGCCGCTTCAACCTGTCCACCACTAACAGCAGGAGCAACCTCCTCCAGCTTGTCACGGATGGATGTAATTTTATTATTAAAGAAGTGGAGAAAGTCGACACTGCTCAGTGAGCTTGGAATTTTAGGCTCGATTGCGCTATGGCAGTTTGTGAGTTTAGCGACGGTACCAAACAAAAATCTACTGTTGTTTTTATTCGCTTCTATTAAAGTTGAATAGTATTGAGTTCGAGCCCCGCGAAGGGCCTTCTTGTAGTTTCGGAGACCTGCTTTCCACTCCCTGTGGACAGGCTCCGAGTGGGAGTGGCGATATAGCCTCTCCAATTTTCTGACGTCCTGTTTTAAAGTGTGGAGTTGAACACTGTACCAGGGCGACGATGATCTAATCCTAATGGTTTTCTGTTTTAAAGGAGCTGCTGCATTTAATGCAGATTTTAAAGACTCCATAGTGTTGCCCACCGTTTGGTCAATGACTGAGGGACTGCAGCTGCTGTGAACAGGTTCACCTGCAGCAGTATTCAACATAGGCTGTATTAGTTCTTTGAACCTTGTGATAGATTTATCATTTAAGGTTCTTTTCATTATGGTTTTATCTTGCGGGACAGGAAAGTCCTCCAAAGCGAGATCAAACGTGATCAAGAAATGGTCAGACAGCAACGAGCTTTGACGCTGGATGTCAACATTGGAGACATCACAGCCGTAGGTCAGGACAAGGTCCAAGGTGTGGTTATGAATGTGAGTAGGTTCCTCGACATTCTGAGTAAAACCAACACCATCTAGTACGGCGCTGAAAGCTTTGTTTAAGCTGTCAGTGCTGTCGTCCACATGTATATTGAAGTCTCCAGCTATAACTATGTTTTCCCATTCCAAAACTAGGTTTGAAATGAAGTCAGAGAATTCTGTTAGGAACTCGCTGTAAGGACCAGGAGGTCGGTATAAAACTATAAATAGTACTGCTTTTTGTTTTCTCCACCCAGGACAGGTGATTGAAAGTGTTAAGTTTTCAAACGAGTGAAAAGCGTTGTTGGTTTTGGGACTAAGAACCAAGTTGGTGTGTGATATAATCGCAACACCACCGCCGCGACCTGTAGCTCTGGCTTTCTGGTAGTTAACATGCGTCGGAGGAGTGCACTCATTCAATCTAACGTAGTCGTCCTGTTGAGCCAAGTCTCCGAGAGCGCAAACAGATCCAAGCCCTTGTCTATAATAAGTTCGTTTATGAGAAGCGATTTAGACGAGATTGATCTGACGTTCATTAAACCACATTTAACAACCCTACCGCTAGAACTATTTCTGTCTGTCTGAACTTTTATTAAGTTACTGTGTCTGACACCTAGGTCAGATTTCCTCGCATATAGTGCTTTAGACTTCAAGCGGGGAACACACACAGTTTCAATCTGACTAGGTTCTGAGGCTAGTAACTGAGCACACACAGGCACACACACACATGCACACACAGTTTCAATCTGACTAGCCTCTGAGGCTAGTAACTGAACAGATGGGGGCTCAGAGGTTGTGGCAGAGCAGCTCTGCACCCGGGCCTCAGTTCTGCATCGTCATTTGAGCCGAGCAGAACAGTTTAGAGCCAGGGCCAAATTCTTAGCCAAAAGGGATGTACCCGCCAACGTTGGGTGGATATCATCCGAGCGGATGAGACCGGGCTTTCCCCAAAAGGCACTCCAATTGTCAACATGAACAACACCACTTCGAGGGCACCAGCCAGACAGCCAGCGGTTGAAAGCCGAGTGTCTGCTGAATGCTTCTGCACTGCTAGTGCTAGGTAGGGGCCCAGAGAAGATGACAGTGTCGGCCATTGTGCTAGCCAGCTTGCACACGGCGGCGACTTGCAGCTTCAACACCTCGGACTGTTTCCGCCGAACGTCATTACCACCCGCGTGAATAACAATTCGACGGAAACGCTGCTTGCCTCATTACTTTAATACTTACAGTCTGTGGTAAATACACGGGCTACATGTGGTACACGTGCTTAGACTATATTAATATTGTATGTGTAACATTCAAAATAGATTGAGTGAATATTCCCTTTTCCTCATTTAGTGATTTGCGGAGGAGAGGAGAGGAGCAGCGAGAGAAGTTTGGCAGTTGAAATAAATGAATTTCAGCTTGCTAAATTATTTGAAAGCATCTTCATTATGATTGTTATATTTATGTATTTATTATAAATGTTAGAGATGCCAGAGAAAAGGCGTCTGCTTTTTTTCTGAGTGGGAGGCATTTTAAGCGTCCCGCACATCCGCACTGCTCATTTACTCAGCGGTCTTTACTATTAGATCCAGTGTTTTCTCCAGCGCCTGTGTGGTGTAGCGGGATTGTACAAGACTTTCCCGTGGACGTTCAGGGTTCAAGCCCTGGCCAATCCTCAACTTTTTATTAGCGGGGGGAGTATATGAATCAGATTACTCCGTTACTGAATAAAGTTGCATTTTTTTCCTGCAGTTTGGTTGGTGCAGATTGTGAAGTTTACTACCGTCTAGCAACTATTTTAAATGTGTTGGCCTAATTACTAAGTATGTTTTAGAAAACATGTAAACGTCAACAAAATCAAAAGTGTCATAGCCTGGACTTGAACCCGGGTCCTCTCACACCAGAGTCCATCTCCTTATCATTGAGCTATAAAGCCACAGAAAGTTGTCCCGTGAACAGAGAACAAAGACCGATGAGAAGCCAATTTTCCTAACCCTGCTCACAAGTGCCACCTGGTGGTTGTTTGGGTCATTGCAGCATCACTGGGGAAAAAATAAATAAAAGACGCGTGAATCACACGTGAGTCTCGTGTGATTCACGCGTGAAACGCGACAAAACGAAATGGGACCTACTGTAGTCCTTGGCTCTAGATCAGCTCCACACACAAACACACACAAAACTTGTATTTGATATTAGGAGGAGGACCGGCAGGTTTGACAGTGATTCTGTGATATTTTTTTTTCGTCCATAAAGTCTCACGTCTGGCCACAGCAACTCATAAAGACCATGAGTACAGACCATGGATGAGTTGTTTTTTTAGCTTTGAGCTGAAGGACCCATGTACTCGGGATTTTCGCGGTACTGCAGACTAAACAAGACTATAGTCACGTGGGCTACCTACTTATTTTTCTCAATTGAACTCGTAAACTAAAACAGCTTTACCTCAGCTGAAAGAGATCCTACAGCTTTCATAAAGGTGGGGATTTTTGTGTCCCTTGCCATCCTGTGCCCATGGTGGCACACATCCTGTGCCCATGGTGGCACAAATGACGTTTATTTGAATAGGGCGCCATCTTGGATCGCCTGTGCTTGGGACAAACACATAGAGTTTTGTTGCTCTACATCAGTTCTCTGGCCTGTATCGTTCTCTACACTTCTCAGATTAGCGGAACTCGCCCATATTTGGGCATCGTCTGGTCGTCCTGGTTCTGAGCAGTGGACAAGATCCCATGATGCGTTGCGCCAAATACGCGAGTGTCACGTGCACAGAGGGGCTCGGCCGCGCTTTGAGCAACGATGGAGCGAAGCCTGAGTTGGAAGAAAACGAGCAGAGTTTGTGGCAGTAAAGTGTGGATTTAAAGAAAACTAAAGGATTTAAGAAGAAAAAAAAAAAAAATTTCAAGGGACTCTAAAATCCCCACAAAATCCGACTTTTATGAAAGCTGTTGGTTCTCTGTCAGCTGAGGTTTTAGTTTGCATTGAGTTCTATAAGACATTTTTCTGGGTAGCCCACGTGAATTTGGTCCGCAGTACCACTGGCACCCCCTGGGCCCATAGGTGGGACAGCTATAAACTAGTAATAGCCTATCCAGATATTATTATAGATCCATGCTTACAGCAGACAAGTTAACAACATCTACCAAATATGCACACTCCACAGAACTGCCCCCTCCCATGTCTGCCAATGAGCTCGGCGTACAGGGATTTTCCTGCTGACTGTATGCGTTGGTAATGGACATATACTTGAAAAAATCGGCGCTGCATATCAGAAGATTTTAGCCACACCGAACCGATAGATAATTTGAAGAAACACAAATATTGGCACCGATATGTTGGCCATTCCTAAATTAAAGTGAACCAGACCAAGACCAAAGTCTGGTATACACTCATCAGGGTGTTGTATCCAAAGAGTCTGTTTTTCTAACTAGTTTCAATGGAACGTTAAGTTAAAGCACTCACCGGTCGGCAATAACATCTCCCTAAGTAATGGAATGTATCAGACTCTCCCACAAAAACCCTAACACCATTGTCGTTTTGGTTTGGCAGCTCTGTGGCCTGGATAAAGGCCCTTGTTGTACCTGCCCCCTTGTGCCTGTCCCCTGGGTAGAGGCCCTGGCTGTACCCGCTCTCTGGTGCCTGTCTGCTGGGTAGAAAGATGGCAGCTGAAGGCACCATCCGCAGTCGGCTTCGGAGTCTTCTCAGGAGCAACTCCATCAAACTGAAGAGGCGCAGCACAAGGCGACCGGAGCAGATCAACAACAAGGTATCACACACCCCAACAGACACACACACACAGCTGCAGTCACAAGCATAACCTTAAGCCCAGTTAAAGTGGGCCTAGGCCTAAAGCCCGGATCTAATCGCGTGACTGCGGCAACTGGGCGTGAGCACGGTTGAACAACATGAGCCAGGGCGCAGTTTTAAAGCCCAGATGGGGGGAATGGGAGGTTAAGTGTGTTGTGGACGTCTCATTTCGTCTTCCTGCTACACTCGCTGTGAAGTGCATTTTTGCACACTTCTCTACCTAGAAGTCGCATACTTTCATATTCTCTCTTGCTTATGTTACACCTTTCATGTGAGCCCTGTGGTAATTGGGTGTGGGGGAGGCTGGTTGGCGCACAGTCTAGATCCACACACACAGTCTAGATCCACACGCACAGTCTAGATCCACACGTACAGTCTTGATCCATACGCACTGTAGCCTAGTGTAAATAGTAAACGAAACAGGAACTTAACTCGACTCAGAGGTAGTTGCTGAAGTTAGTCTTAGCGCCACCAGCTGGACTGAGTGTTGTAGTATACCGTATCTGGGCTGTCACGCCCCTTTTTCGACGATCCTGGCCACTTGGCCTCGTTTGTTAGTGAAAACCTATGTGACTGTGCCCTAAAAAACACACAATTCTGAATCTGTTATGTCTCTGGTCCAAGCCCCTATGATCCAAGATGGCGGCGTATTTAAATCAATGGATTGTACTCAGCGCCCCACCATGGGCACCTAACGATTAGCAGTCCTCCCGGTTCTGCGCAGTGGACGAACTCCCATAATGCTTTGCACACAATGACACGTGTGTGGCCATCATGCACATGCACAGAGGGGCATGGTAGCGTTCTGATCAATCTGGTGCTGCAGATGAGCAGAGTTTTCTGCACTAAAGTGTGTATTTATAGAGAATAATGAAAGAAAAACAGTTCAGGATGACAAGGGACTAAAATCCCCACTATATTCACCTTTATGAAAGCTGTAGGTTCTGTCAGTTGAGGTAAAGCTGTTTTAGTTTGCATTAAGATTAAGAGATCCTTTATTTGTCCCACATTGGAGAAATTTCAGTGTTGCATCACAAGTTATAGAACAGTAGGAAAGAGGAGCACGGAGCACACGGCACAAGTTAAGTGAAAATAGCTATGCTAATTAAAATAAAACAAAAACTGTAACTCTAGCATCACATAACAAGTATCAAATCTATATCTTGAAAATAAAGGAAAGACCTGCGGAACCTCTCCTTCACACATCAAAGATGAATAACTCTGTCACTGAAGCTGCTCTCCAGAGCGGACAGAGTGTCCTGCAGTGGGTGACAGTCATGGTCCTGCATAGATCTTAGTTTGTCCAGGACCCTCCTGTCCCCCACCTGCTGCACGGTGTCCAGGGAACAGCCCAGGACTGATCTGGACTTCCTGATGACCTTGATTTCTATGGAACAATTTTCTGGGTACTCCAAGTGAAATTAGTCTATAGTATTCCGGGTGCCCCCCAAGCCCATGGGTGGGACAGCTATAAGCTAGTGATATCCTATTGAGATAATATAATAGATCCATGGTCTGGTTTCTGGTCCAGACCAGGTCTAGCTTCCCTGTGAGAATCCCACAGATGTGAGACTTTATCATACTGTAAATATGACTGAGACTTCAGCTGCTGCTAAACACACAGTTATTAAAGTGTAAATCTTCAGCTCTTCTAATGTACACACACCATTGGAACTTGTAGCATTCAGTTTTATAAAAATAATTACACTTTAAAAACAAAGTCAAGGCAAAGTGACACTGAGAGTTGATGGTAAACCTCTGGCCTTTTTCCTGGTGCTTGTCTGGAGCCGTAACCAGAGTCTTGTTTTAAGTATTATTTACTTTATATTTGGCCTTATAGAAGTGTTTGTTTTGGAGTGTGCTAAAGTTTGCAGTGATGATAGAGCAGTGAAACCAGCTCGACAGCTCCAGGACCAGGAAGTGAGGAATCCGAATCATGTGACATCACACTCGAGATGTACATGAACATGTTCTGGGTTTATTATACTGTACCAGTTAGTCATAATAATGCTCCAGTTTATGCATCAGGTTTCTGGACCTCAAAGACACTCATCATTCATTCACTCCAAACATGGTGGTGATGAACTACTGCTTTAGCCACAGCTGCCCTGGGGCACACTGACAGAAGCAAGCCAACCAGTCTGTACCACCGGCCCCTCCCACCACCACCAACCATTCACACACACACCAGACTCATTCCAATGTGGGTGAAGGATCTTGCCTAAGGACACGACAACAGTTTGGCACTTTACAGCTGCAGCCATCCCACTGTGCCACCTGGTGTTCCCAGAGGTTTCCCATCACAGCACTAACCAGGCCCTGCCCTGCTTAGCTTCACCGGATTTTAGGAAATTGTTTCTCTTTCTTTTCTCTCATTATTTCTGTCTGAGTAGACCTTCCAGTTATTGGTCCAACCCAGTGTTGGGAACCTCTCTTACAGCTACAGCGGGGATACTTCTAAACAAGATAAATGTAAATGTTTGTGTGGAGTGAAGACTGTATTTTAAACAGATCATTGACATCTGTGTCTGGGATCCACTCACACTAACGATATTGTCACGATCACGATAGCTTTAAAATCAATAATTTTTACACAAACTGGTCTGCAATATTTTGCTTGTCAGGGTATCTGTAGACAATGTAGATCACAATAGCAGCTTTTTATTTGTAAAGTGCTTCACACATCTTTGCAAAACATGCACAAACATATATTAAAGCTGGATTCCTCACATAATTTTTTTATTTATTAGGGAAATTCAATCCATATCCATGCGGTGCATTGGGATATACGTCCTTTTGAAGAATAAGTAGCGCAGATTTGTAGTGTAGTGTAATTTTATTTTAGATCGAATTTTCGCGCAACGCAGAAGATAATTTATTTTGGGACCAGATTGTGACCAATCACAGTGGACCACTGGCCCCCACTTTCTTGAGAGAAGCTACAGATCTATACAGCGAACAAGCATCCCAAAGAAAGTCCCTACAAGAACGGAGCGAGACCAAATGTTTGAAGGACGGGAGAGTGCCACCCGGGAAGCGGATGAGGCTACTTTAACGCTGGGGCATGCAATCAAATGAGGAACAAATAATACCTGTGACATTTCCATTGGTTTTTGGGCCAAAACTAGAGACGTATACAACTCCGTAAACACGATCACGCGCATGAGTGGGAGAGGGTAGTGGGAGGCATTAGCTTCGTGAGTGCGGGGAGGGGAGCAGAAAGAGTGAGGGCAGTGCTCACATTTGAAACTGCTGCTTCAACGTCACTAAGTGAGTTATTCCAGCTTTAACATTAAAAATTAAATTCAGGTTAACTACGAGAAAAGCGAGAACTACAGGTCGCGGCGGTGGCGTTGCGATTATATCACATACAAACTTACTTCTTAGTCCCAAAACCAACAATGCTTTTCACTCGTTTGAAAACTTTCAATCACCTGTCCTGGGTGGAGAAAACAAAAAGCGGTGCTATTTATAGTTTTATACCGACCTCCTGGTCCTTACAGCGAGTTCCTAACTTCATTTCAAACCTAGTTTTGGAATGGGAAAACATAGTTATAACTGGAGACTTCAATATACATGTGGACGACAGCACTGACAGCTTAAACAAACTAGATGGTGTTGGTTTTACTCAGAATGTTGAGGAACCTACTCACATTCATAACCACACCTTGGACCTTGTCCTGACCTACGGCTGTGATGTCTCCAATGTTGACGTCCAGCGTCAAAGCTCGTTGCTGTCTGACCATTTCTTGATCACGTTTGATCTCGATTTGGAGGACTTTCCTGCGCCACAAGATAAAACCATAATGAAAAGAACCTTAAATGATAAATCTATCACAAGGTTCAAAGAACTAATACAGCCAATGTTGAATACTGCTGCAGGTGAACCTGTTCACAGCTGCTGCAGTCCCTCAGTCATTGACCAAACGGTGGACAACACTATGGAGTCTTTAAAATCTGCATTAAATGCAGCAGCTCCTTTAAAACAGAAAACTATTAGGATTAGATCATCGTCGCCCTGGTACAGTGTTCAACTCCACACTTTAAAACAGGACGTCAGAAAATTGGAGAGGCTATATTGCCACTCCCACTCGGACCCTGTCCACAGGGAGTGGAAAGCAGGTCTCCGAAACTACAAGAATGCCCTTCGCAGGGCTCGAACTCGATACTATTCAACTTTAATAGAAGCGAATAAAAATAACAGTAGATTTTTGTTTAGCACCGTTGCTAAACTCACAAACTGCCATAGCGCAATTGAGCCTAAAATTCCAAGCTCACTGAGCAGTGTCAACTTTCTCCATTTCTGTAATAATAAAATTACATCCATCCGTGACAAACTGGAAGAGGTTACTCCTGCTGTTGGTAGTGGACAGGCTGAAGCGGCATACTTGACTTCCCACTTAGACTCTTCAGTGGGCCTCGATAAATTCATGCCTGTTAGCCAACCAAGTGATCTCTGTGGTCACAGCCTCAACTTGCATGTTAGACGCATTCCCGACATGGCTCTTCAAAGACATACTTCCTTTGATAATTGAGCCTATCGTAAATATAATAAACGCATCCATACAATGTGGCTATGTCCCACAAGCTTTTAAAACCGCGGTAATCAAACCCCTTCTGAAGAAAACAAACCTGGACCCAGAAATACTACAGACCGATCTCGAACCTAAAGGACCTTAAAACGTGGATGACTCTTAACTTCCTACTTCTCAACCCGGAGAAGACAGAAGTGATCCTACTCGGTCCGAAGTGCCTGCGTGACTCCCTTACTAACCAGATAATCACTCTTAATAATGTCAGTATTATACCCAGTAACACCGTGAGGAATCTTTGAGTAATTTTTGACCAAGAACTCTCCTTCAAGGCTTATATAAGCCAAGCAACTAAAACGGCGTACTTCCACTTACGGAACATCGCTAAAATTAGGAATTTCCTTCCTAAAAAGTGACACTTGACTACTGTAACACTTTATTGGCAGCATGCCCTAAAACCTCTTTGAAGAGCTTCCAGCTCGTTCAGAATACGGCAGCAAGGATCTTAACAGGTACCAAAAGGAGGGAGCACATAACTCCGGTGTTAAAATCACTCCACTGGCTCCCTGTGGAGTACAGAATAAAGTTTCCTGACTAAGACCAGGGGGCAGGACCACATTACACCGGTTTTAAAATCGCTGCATTGGCTCCCCGTGTGTTTCAGGATCGAGCAGTGGTCGGTGTGGCTGCAGGGGTCGGACTCTTGGGCCTGGTGGGGGCCTGGGGCCTCGATTTCGTGTCTCCTCTGGGTCCTATGTCGTCCCCTGTGGCTACAGGCGGCTCTGCTCATGGTGCAGACGGCTCCTTGGATGACGCTTTTTCAGCTGGTTGCATCTGAACCCTGCCAAGTCTCTTATCATTGTTTTATTGTTTTACCGGTATGTGTGTGTGTGTGTGTGTGTATTAGGGTTTAATCCCGGGATACGGGATTCCCGGGAAATCTGATGAAAACTATTTCCCGATTCCCGGGAAATGTTATGACGGGAAACGGGAAATGAAAGTAAAAAAAAAAAATACAGTGCGCTCCTATTATAAAGCACGTTTATTGTTGTTCAAAGTTCAAACATATTTCATTTACAATCAACATGTCTACAGCTGAGAGGATGGCTCCTAAAAATTGTGTTTTTGACAACAAATATGGGTCTTAATCGCGCTAAACCACGACTTGTAATGAGGCCAGGCTCAGGGTACGGGGCACATGTGAGCCCAGAATTTGGTTACGTCCAATTCTATCAGAAAGCTCCTTTCTTTTTTTCCATCTGCTAAGGGCAGCAACAGGTTTGGCTAACATACATATAACACATTTTAAAATCATATAAAATGCATTTAGGGTAATGTTCTGCTTACAATGACGATAGGAATGATAAGGAAGAGAGGAGAAGGGTAAGAAGGTTGATATTAGAAATTGGATGCGCCCGAGAGCCGGCTGCAGCGAACACACGGAGGAGTTTATGGAGGTGGCACCCGTTTTGTTTTACGCTTTAAAACTCTTTGGGCTTATTTCCAAATGGGGGATTACATATCTGCGCTCAAACTATTATATGGACTTAAACATGAAACTGGTCTGAACTGAAGTGGTCTGTGCTGTTCATTAATAACTAAGGTAAGACCCATAACACAATTGGAAATGTGCCTTTTACGAACTTTTGCGTTTTGTTTGAGCAAACAATGCGGGCCATGGAAAACATTCTGCTGTAGCCAAACTAATTGTGAATAAGCCGCTCTGTAGGTTCTGTTGATTTATATGATATATGTTCATCTGATTGGGCTGAAGTCAGTGCCTCCAAACCACACCGCACGTCACTTTTCGACAAGTGGATTGCGCAGACATTTAGAATCTCATAATAGTGAAATTCCTGAAGAAAGCCCATCAACAAAACGTCTGAAAACGCTATGGCTACTTTATAAAAGCTAGCAAGTCACTTGGTGAAACACTAGTGGAGATGGCAGCTTTTGTTGGATTATATATTTGAGTGATATCATACATTACTTGGGCTAAAAACAACAACTACAAACAACAGCTATTTCCCGGGATTTCCCGGGAAAGGCGTCGTCTTTTCCCGGGATATGATACGTCTCATTTTCGGGAAAAATATTAAACCCTAGTGTGTATGAGTGTTCATGAGAGCGTGTGTGTGTGTTTGTCTGTGGTTTGGGGTGGGTCTGTTGGGTGGTCTGAGCGAGGGGTCTTGGGCCGGCGGGATTGTTTTTAACCAAACTGTAAAGCACTTTGTGTTGCATCTTTTGTATGAAAAGCGCTTTATAAACAAAATTTGATTGATTGATTGATAAAGATCGGATATTGTGGGGATTTTAGTGTCCCTTGTCGTCCTGAACTTTTTCTCTTCTTAATCCTTCGGTTTTTTTTAAATCCATACTTTACTGCCACAAGCTCTGCTCGTTTCCTTCCCGCTCTGGCTCCACTCTACCACTGCTCTGATCAGTAGCGCTGATTGGCCAGAGCACGGCCGAGCCCCTCTGTGCACGTGCGTGAGCGCCACACATGCATATTTGGTGCAACGTCATGGGAGCTCGTCCACTGCGCAGAACCGGGAGGACCAAATATAGGCGAGTTCCGCTAATATGTCAGCCCTATTCATTTGAATTGGGCGCCATCTTGGATCACCGGGACTTGATAGAGATGGATGATGCTAACCTGCTAGCTCAATTAAGCACATTTGGGCTACGTAATAAATGTATTTCTAATAGTATTTACACTGAACAAGACTCGGCAAGAAGCCTAGGTCAGTCTTTCTGACACACAACCATGTATCGCCCAGTGTGAACAGAAAAGGTGACTGATTTTGGATCACAATAACTTTTTTCACAGTGGGAATGAGGCTGATGTTGGAGAATTAGTAAAAGCTCAAAGATTGTCTCCCATGATTCTTACTCCTGCTCTGGTGCGGCATGTGTGGTGCTGGAGCAGGAGGTATGTAGCGCAGTGAAAGTTGTTTGTTTTGTCATTGTTCTGGTTTGTTCATGTGTGTTGCTTTTGTCTCTGACAGAGGACACAGCGCGGTGGTAGCAGCTCAGCCTCAGTGTGTATTAGGGTTATTTCTATGTTGAAAACGGCTTAAGGAACTGTGTGTGAGATTCAAAATGTTCAAATCCAACAGAACTCTCACTGATACTTGCCGTAATGCAGTTCTCAATTACAATTTTACGTTTGGTGTTTTCCATTTACTGTGTTTGTGTCTGTGTATTGTCTTGTATTGTGTTGTATTACCATAAGCAGTTTGATCACAGGAATCTCCAGTACAATACAAATAATGAGTTTGATCCCCCCACAACTCATGTCACCTGGTCCCACTGACTTCTGCTGTTGTTGTATTCTTGAGCAATACACTTAACCCTTTGCCTGAAGCCCAGAAGCGTTGACAGAGCAGCCTTTCTTTATGAATCGGGTGGCAGCTTTGATAGCCACCCTCCCGATTCACGAATGAAAGCATGATCATTGGTCCATAGAGAGCAGGATGACCACCGTCCACAAATGTCCAAACATATAAATCAATGTTAATAAATGTCCTGAAGAGTCCCCTCAAAGCAAAGACCTGATGCGCCGCCGCCAATCCTGAGTTGGGGCCAGTGCAGCATTAGCAGCAGCAACTTGAATGTGCCCTTTATCCACAGTTGGTGCACTTGTTCTGTTCCCTGCTGTGTCACATCTAAGCCCCCACAGGCTCCGCTCAGATCGCATATTAAGTTTGCAATCAGTGGATGTTTTTCCCTTGTGAATGCAAAAAATGAATGCATGAGCAGATGGCCTGCAGCAGGTGTGGGATTGTGGCTGGACCTGTTTTCATGTAATTACCATTGAATTTGTGTGAAACATGTTCATTTTCTGTGAAAGCTTTTTTTAGTTTAAGCGTATACATTCAAAGGACATAAATATGTAAAGATGAGAGGGAAAAATGTAGCTGTATTTATGTTCTTTTATTTGGCGTCTGTGGCTTGTGTTTTGTTTTAACTTTTACAATATGAGCAAATTATTTTGTTGATCATGGGTTTTGATGATTGTTTTAAAATGAAACTGTTCTAGCTTTGGATGAAAAACACAATCATGAGCAATATTTATTTTTACAATACAATACGATACAATACAATTTATTCTTGTATAGCCCTAAATCACACCAGCAGTCATCTCAGAGGACTTAACAAAACCATCAAACCATATTTGTCACAATTAGCTTTGTGTTGCGATCTTATTAGTTTTAGTTTTCTTAGTTTTCTTGTGTGCTGCTCTCGATTTACTTCATCACAGGTTTGAGGAGAAATTATTAAGACCTCAGTCAGATCATTGAACGTCTGTGTGTGCATAATAGTGTAAAAAGAGGAGGAGGAGTTTGGGAGTCATGTGAAGAGTCACACAGCTAACGCTAACTTTACCACAGCAGCTAACTGTGCTCACATTATAAACACTGGAGCTAGTTCTAGCATTGCAGCTGACAGGTGATGGGGCTGAGCCATCCTCCGATTGGACGATAGGTTGATAACACGCTCAGGTATAACATGGATTTCTGGACGGTGAGTGGACAAGGGAAGGAGATGAGGGAAGCAGATATGGCAATAAGACTAGGAGACATGGGGACAGACGTACACACGGGGACAGAGGGAGGCAGACAAGACAGGAAAGGAGCCTATGGCAGTGTTTGGTCTGATCCAGTATATTCTTCTGCAGTTCATGTATTTTCCCAACTATGTTATTACATAGTCATGCTTCCTGTGGTTGGTTCATGGAAAGTTGTATTTGTGTGAGATTGGCCAGCTGCGTCTTGAGGAGTGTTGGACAGATATGGAGCTGCAGCCTGTAAACCAGGTCATGATCTTACTCAGCAGAGTCAGGGCACAGGGCTTAGGACAGTGGTGCCTGCACAGAAAGCCCTGGGGCCAAACTGAGTCTGTCTGAGGTAAATGTGGGTCAGTGTTTTAACGTTAATTTTGCTTCTGTTTACAGGTGACTCTGGAGAAGGTTCTGGGCATCACGGCAGAAGGAAACCGAGCTTTGAGCTGTGACCCCAGGACCGGACTGTTGGCCTATCCAGCCGGGTCAGTGACATCACAAACAGTGACATCACACACACGCACGCACTGTGCAGTCATACTGCTACACACACAGTCTTTACTCTGGGCACCAGCAGGAGGCCAGTCCCTGTGCTCCTCAGAGTCAGAGTTGGTTCATTTGACCACATGTCACAGATGTACTTAGGTGCGAGGCCATGGAGAGACTTTTAAGTCTATTCTCTGAGCCACTGAGACCTGAGACCAGGACTAATATGATGGTACTTCCTGGTTTTGGTCAGGTCTTCTACATGTATGTACTTCCTCATTTCTCTGTCTGAAAATCGGGTGCTGCAGGTACAAGCAGTTCTCCAACAACAGAAACTTACAGATATGGAACAGTTGCAGATTGCTTCTCTTCTTCTCTTTCATGTAGAGTTCCACCTGCAGGAGATTGATCCTGAGGCTACAGCTCCATGTGAGCCTCATGTGACGCCTGATCCTCCAGAGCTGCTGCTGTAATCTGTGTTTACCTGTTGGTCTTATGTAACTGCTTCACCCCTAACCCTGCTGCTGCTGCTACTACTGCTACTACTATGGCTACTTCTGCTGCTTCTGCTACTACTGCTGATGCTGCTGCTACTGCTGCTATTGCTGCTACTATTCTGTGGCTCATAGATATCCACATTTAACTTATTGAACAATTGATGTTATGATTGATTTATAGGTTTGATGGTCTGTTCCTGGGCTTGGGTCCTGTACAGTTAGTATTAGCCTTAACCGTTGTTGTTGCTGCTGATGGGATTATTGGATCAGAGCAGATTAGACGCATCATGTGTCACACAACACACTTCAAATCTACTTTTCACATGTGAAGAAAAAGTTTCTGGTTTAGTCCTGGTTTAGTCCGTGTTTAGTCCTGGTTTAGTCCTGGTTTAGTCCTGGATCAGTCCTGGATCAGTCCTGGATCAGTCCTGGATCAGTCCTGGATCAGTCCTGGATCAGTCCTGGATCAGTCCTGGATCAGTCCTTGAGGAGGTGTCCCAGGTTTCTAATCTCCGAGAGCAGGAAAAGACCTCGCTGTCTCTGGATTCCTCTGGACGAGCTGGAGGAAGTGTGTGAGGAAAGTCTGAACTGGTGTGTGGATAAAGAGAATGGAAATTAATAGATAGTCTCTCCTTTGGTCTCTCTCTGCTTCGGTCTCTTTCGGTCTCTGCTTTCGGTCTCTGCATCGGTCTCTGCATCGGTCTCTGCATCGGTCTCTGCATCGGTCTCTGCATCGGTCTCTGCATCGGTCTCTGCATCGGTCTCTGCATCGGTCTCTGCATCGGTCTCTGCATCGGTCTCTGCATCGGTCTCTGCATCACACTCTGCATCACACTCACGCCGAACAGAATGTCCAGACTTGCAGCTGCATTGCAGCAATGTGCTCCTGTTAGAGGGAGGGGCTGAACGGAGGAGAGGAGACATGAGAGGAGACATGAGAGGAGACATGAGAGGAGACATGAGAGGAGACATGAGAGGAGACATGAGAGGAGACATGAGAGGAGTTTCTGTACCAGATAGCACAGAATCCACTCTTTAAACACTAAAAAAAACATCTATATGACAAGTATGGCACCATTTGATTTATCAAAATGTCAACAACATAGTTTGGTATAGACAAACTTCTGCCTTTGTCATCCTTTGAGATACCGTAAGTACATAACTCGTCTCAGTGAAAGTCTTCTTCACACTGTTTATAATAATTTGTGCTGTGCTGTGATTGCCCTCTGCTGTCGAGCCTTCAGCGCTCTAGCCAATCACAGCCCCCGGTGCTTCTGTCCTGAGCTGTGATTGGTGCGTTCGAACGTTTGCAGAGATGAGTGCAGTGGAGTGAACGAGGTCAGTGGGTCGATCTGAGCGCATACAGAAGAATCTCAGACATGAAGTGTGTGGGAGAGTGGAATGTATTATTTAAAACAGTCTTTATGCAGTTTGCTTTAGTCCTGTGTTAGTCCTGTGTTAGTCCTGCTCTAGTCCTACTCTAGACCTGCTTTAGACCTGCTTTAGATCTGCTTTAGATCTGTTTTAGCATTGAAGAACAGATTTATTCTGACTCATTGGGATTCTCATCTTAGTTTAAAGACCTTATGCCGGGTTTTTGAAAAAAAATTGTGGATATCAAAATTGCATGACAATGTCGATCTGAAATAGATTCCGGAAAAAAACATCCTATATTTTATAAAAAGAACGTGTTTTTCATGAATTTAAGTTGTCTATGCTCTAACCTGTGTGTGACGTCACAGCGGGTAACGCCCATGCATTGAAAACCATGGATCTATGCCACAGGACTGCCTTTTCTCTCTTCTCTCCACTGATGCCCAACACAATACTGCACTCTACAGGTGACAATTGATCTCTACACATAAATTGCCGTTTTGAGAGTGAAAATGTGTCTGAGGTGGGATTTGAATCCCAGTATCTGGATTGGCAGTGCATCGACACAACCACTGGACTATTTCAGTACCAACGAAGAGTTACAAACTAGTAGTCATCTTGAAGAGTTACAATATAGTTGTCATCTTGAATATCCGCGACAAAAGAACGAATACCAAATTGTAAACAACTTACAGCGTTGAAACGTACCCACTCTGACGTCACCAAGGGCTGTGAAGTTTTTTCGTCTCTAAGGGCGTTGCTATGGGGTTATTTCGATTTGGGGGGATCAGACAAAAAAAACAACTGATTTCGAAACCTTTAGTAGTTCTCTTCTAATATAAAATGGTATTAAAACTGTATTTCTAAATAAATCAATCCCGGCATAAGGTCTTTAACCCTTTAGGCTCCAAAGTAACATTACTCTAAGCACATCATTCTTTTTCCATAGAATGTTCTTTATCTTTATGTTCACGTGTTCAGTGCATGAATGGGATTTCACATCCATCTCCTCATAGAATGTTTGGTGAACCGTTCATTCAAAACACATGTTCAAATGTCTCTCTCTGGGCTCCCTCTTTAGTCTCTCTGACCATGTAGAGAACTATGAGCTCATCCAGTCAGACGCTATTGTTTGGTTTATAATAATAATGATTCTAATATTTCCCTAGCTTCCTGTGTGGATGAATTCAGTGCACACATGGTTAGGTCAGTGCACACATGCTGTGGCCGTGGTTCTGGTTTCAGAGACCGTTGTAATGCGAGTTTGGCGGAGGTGTGCTCAGAAAAGTAGAATTGTGGTTCAGAGCAGAAGCAGGAGGTGTGTTGGCCACAGGGCAGAACAGACACCGCGGCTCACATGGATGATGCTACAGCGACAAACAGCCGCAAAAAGATTTAACATGAGATCTGAGGTCTGTGCTCAGGTCACTGTCAGGGATTCAGGATGAAGGAACTAAAGTTTCTTTGTGAAAACTGAACTTTATCTCTCTTGAATGAGGCTATGTTCAGGGATGACGTAAATCACTGCTTTTGTCTCTTTGTGTCACTGCATGGTCTCTCTAATTTCTAGTCTCTCTCTCTGGTCTCTCTCTTTGGTCGCTCTCTCTGGTCTCTGGTCGCTCTCTCCGTTCTCAGCTGTATTTTATAGTGTATGCACAACTTTTGACAGCAGCAGCATCTCAGACTTACATCCAACAGATGGTTGGTTGTTACTGTATATTTTGCAACAAATGAAAAGAGTCACTATTTTCAGTAAATTAGTCACTAGTGTTCATGTTCATGGCAATTGAGCTTGAGGAAAGAAAACGTTATGCATTACAATAAATTACATCATTATTGTTGTGTATAATGTTACTTGTAGTTCAGTTCTCAGGTACCTGTGGCTCAGAGAATGATTAGATTAGATTCAACTTTATTGTCATTACAAAGTCAGAACAATGCAACAAAATTCAGTTAAGCATCTAACCAGTAGTGCAATTGCGCAAATATAGGATAATATTTACAACACAAATACATTTGCGTATGTGAGACTATACAAGCTGCTATTGCTAGTATATACATTCAATATATTACAATTAGGGCTGTCAAACAATTAAAATTTTTTAGTTGATTAATCGCATAGTAATGGTGAGTTAACTCTCGATTAATCGCATTTTTAAGATTCTATTTCAAATCCACTTCAATTGAAGTTAAATGAGGTCATCAAATTTAATGACACATTGTCATTCATACCAAATGTACTTAAATCTGTTTGCTTTGCTCACAACCTTTTACTTTTGGACACAACCAACATGAGCTGTTAATGAAAGGGAAAATGTACGTACCCCAGCTTTGATTTAGTAAGTTTAGTTGCCTTTCAGGTGGAGACACCGACAGTTCGTGAGGCTCCATAGTTCAGCTTCAGCGGTGTAATTGCGTGCACAAATTACGCACAGGTTACGTAAAGACACTCACACAACATGCAGAGAATAGTTCTGTGCGTGTATATACGGTCTTGGATCACGCTACCGTGGCGCCATTCGCCGTGTTGTTTTTAGCGTCTCACAGCCACTGGAGGTGGCAACCACTCTCCTGAGCGGCCGCAGCTGCCCCGGGTCAGAATGCTGCGGGACTGGCCTCCTGCTGGTCTCAGAGTCAAAACTAAACATGTAGAGGCAGCGTTTCAGATTATGCAGCTAAAATCTGGAACAGTCTTCCTGAAAATGTGAGACAGGGTGCTTCCCTGAAAATTTTCAAATCCAGGTCAAAAAGTCAGGATTCTAGTCTTGTGTGATTGCCTTGTTCAGCACTTGAATTTCCCTTGTATATGAACTGTACTATACAAATATACTTGCCTTGCCTTTTAATAGATTTTGTTATTAGGGCACTCGTCCTCAGCTAAACTAATCCTCTCTAAACTTTTGCATGCAATGTTTCTCTCTCTGCTCTCCTCATGTGACAGAGAGGCACTGGTTTTAGATATTTAGAGCTGATGCTAATGCAACTGTTGGCATCAAAAACTTATTGTTGCAGTTCTGTCGTTAGCGTTCTATGCTACTGTCTGATTTTGACTCTGCTCCTGAACAGAGGCCTTCTGTTAGTTTCCTTGTATTAAAGCAGCTCTGGAGGAATACAGCCTGTGGTTTTAGGAGAAGTGTTTATAATAGTGAGAATGGACAAAGTGAGTCACTGCTCTGACTCAGACTGATCCTCACAGACCAGAGGAGACATGTGCTGGGACCAGAAGGCAATTATTTATTATGATTTGTATGTATTTGATCAATTTATTATACATATAGTAATAACGAAGACCATACAGATGTTGTTGTACAATAGAATGTCATGGAATCCATCTAGCTTATGTTCAAATTAGCTTCTTCCACATCGAGGCTAATACTGGTGATGTCACACTTGATTCTCTCCTCATGCACAGTGGTTCTTCTTTATGTGAAGTGTGTGACATTTTGATCCTGGGTGAGTTTTCTGTCAGAACTGTGTGACTGAACCTCTGTCACAGAGAAAACTTAAAGACTTAAAAGACTCCAGAGGAAGAACATTAAGACCACTGCCTCATTCTACATAATTATATTACAGAAGGCAGCACACTTTCAGCTTAAGACTGACTGACATTCAGACATCGGTACAAAACACTGTTTGCAACAGTGAACTATCATTTAGCACTTATTCTGTTTGTTGAGGAGATACTTGTTCCATTGACAAATCCCCAGAGACATAAACTCTGAGACATTCTCACAAATTCAAGTGACTTTGTTGCTTTTCTTAAGTAGCTGTAAAATAAATACTAGTTTATCAGATTTAAATAATGTGATTCTCTTGCAGATGTGTGGTGGTGCTGCTGAACCCGCGCAAGAACAAGCAGCAGCACATTTTCAACTCATCCAGGTAAAATAACACCTCTGTAATCTGGATCTGCAGTAATCTGAAAGTTAAATGTGACCTGTGTTTGTGTTTCAGAAAAGCCATCACCACTTTAGCTTTTTCTCCAGATGGAAAATATGTGGTCACAGGAGAGGTAAGTGTCAGTGAGACCGGAGAGAGTGAGACCGGAGAGAGTGAGACTGGAGAGAGTGAGACCGGAGAGAGTGAGACCGGAGAGAGTGAGACCGGAGAGAGTGAGACCGGAGAGAGTGAGACCGGAGAGAGTGAGACCGGAGAGAGTGAGACCGGAGAGAGTGAGACCGGAGAGAGTGAGACCGGAGAGAGTGAGACCGGAGAGAGTGAGACCCGAGAGAGTGAGACCCGAGAGAGTGAGACCCGAGAGAGTGAGACCCGAGAGAGTGAGACCCGAGAGAGTGAGACCCGAGAGAGTGAGCGTATATATAATGCGTGTTCACCTGGAGCATCTATCTCATGTCTCAGTGCGGTCACATGCCTGCGGTGCGTGTGTGGGAGGTCACGGAGCGTGCTCAGGTTGCAGAACTGCAGGAGCACAAATACGGCGTCGCCTGCGTCACCTTTTCTCCAAACGGAAAATACATCGTGAGCGTGGGGTACCAGCATGACATGACAGTCTGCGTCTGGAACTGGAAGGTACCCAGTTAAATTTTTTGTGATTACTTTGTTGATCTCTTTCTATTCTCATTCTCTCTCTCTGGTCTCTCTATTTCTCTTTCTTGCTCTCTCTTTCTCTCTATTGTCTCTCTCTGGTCTCTCTCAGGTTGCTCTATGTCTCTGGTCTCTCTCTCTCGGGTCTCTCTCTCTTGGGTCGCTCTTTCTTCTCTCTCTCTGGTTCCCTCTGCTCTCGCTCTCCGGTTGCTCTATTTCTCTGGTCTCTCTGGTCTCTCTGATACATTTATTTTTCAGACGAGTTCCGTGGTAAATGACAGTATTCTGATGGAGAGTGTTTGGTGTACCCTTACTCTCCGGTGAAATGCCTTCTATTTTTTGTATATTTTTCAGAAAAACGTTGTCGTTGCAGCGAACAAAGTGTCGAGTAAAGTTTGCGCTGTGTCGTTCTCCACCGACAGCTCATACTTCGTCACCTCAGGGAACAGACATGTCAAGTTCTGGTACCTTGACCACAACAAGACCAACAAGGTACTACTGCTGCTACTGCTGATACTATTACTACTACTACAGGTAAACAAGATCAATAAAGTACTACTGCTATGGTTAGTGCAAGTGCTAATGCTACTGCTACAATACCACAACATTAACAATAAGGTACTGCATGCACTACTTCCACTGCTACCGCTCTACACCAGAATATGGACAGCAGTTTGGTCTTTTTGTAGTGTCGCTGTACATATGTTTCTGTACTGTGACCACCAGGTGAACGCTACGGTCCCTCTGCTGGGGCGCTCTGGTCTACTGGGAGAGCTCAGGACCAACTGTTTCTCTGACGTGGTGTGTGGCCGCGGTAAACGGTCGTCCTCCACCTTCTGCATCACCTCCTCTGGTCTGCTCTGCGAGTTCAATGAGCGCCGCCTGCTGGACAAATGGGTGGAACTGCAGGTACGAGGACCAAGCACAGTCTGAACCAGGGAGGTCTCTGCTCCTGGTTCATTATTATCATACTATATTATCGTCCTCTTAGTTTTCCCTGTGCTCTTGAACACGTCACTCCCCGTTGTCTGTTAAGGATCTGGTTACATGCACCAGCCCCTTAACCTGGCAAGAGCCAGATTGATGATTGTGTAGAACTCTAACGTGTTCTCCACGATATCAATCTGGGACTTCTGCAGGAGAATCCTTTCGGGGAAAGGAGGGCTAAGCAGCAGAATACTTCAAGCTGATTGGGCGAAGTGACGCTGTGTGCCCGCCTGCCTGGTTTGACTTAAACCAATCCCGGTAACATGTTTGCCGTCCAGAAATGCACAAAGCGCCTCTCGCTGTTCATCTTTCAAAAAAGAAATTGGAGATACTGCTAAAACTGACTTGATAGCCTCAGCTACGCGTCCGTCCTCCTACGTAGCCATGTTTGTTTTGCTTCGGCCCGGCACTTCTTGCTTTCGTCAAACCCGGATATCCCGCCCTAAACCCCCAGACTGGCGCGTGATTGGCTCGCACACCCAGTGGTTCGACTCGAAAAGTGTAAGCGGGAGCGGTACAAGATGTATTCTCGAGTGTTTGTGAACTCACAAATACCGCGAGAATTCAGCTTGCAGGCAAGGTTACCAGCCCCTTCATATGGACTGGGTTTTCACTCCTCACACATGTACAGGTTTACATGCGTCTTTATAAAGCTGATTAAACTGAAGGAGGATTCGGTTTTCACTTGTGCTTTGGCAAGGCAAGACAAGTTTAGTTGTACCCCACAGTTCATACACAAGGGAACTCCCTCCCCCACTTATGTCAATGTAAATGTGACCCTTTCTCTTTCCTGGTGCAGAGACTGGACCCCAGCAGTGTAAGTCCCGCCCACTGCCGCCAGTTCACATTTTATTAAAATTAAGTTATGGTTTCTGGTTGTACGTGGTTGCCACGCGTGGCTCCTCTCACCTCATTGGACAAATTCACAGAACACAGCTGTCGGTCATCTCGTCATTCAGTCCCGCCTTTGATCTCTTTGTTATTCATGGTTTCATATTTTTCATATTCTATCACCAAATGCTTTTTTTTTTTGTGAATGAAGCAAATGCAATGATTGGAAATGGACAACTTTTCTCATTTTAGCATGTGTTTTGTTTCTGCACTTTTAACTGGACAGGTCCTGGTCCGGTTCCTGTCCGGTCCTTGTCTTGTCCTGGTCCAGCCCTGGTCCATTCTAATCTCCTGTCTAATCTTCTCTCTCACAGACCTCTCAGGCCACTTGTCTCTGTGTGACGGAGGAGCTGATCTTCTGTGGATGTTCTGATGGAACAGTCAGAGCCTTCAGTCCCTTCAACCTGGAGTTTCTCTGCACCATGCCCCGACCCCACAGTTTGGGAACTGACCTCTCCAGCATGACCTCAGCTAGGTGAGACCAGAGAGAGAGAGAGAGAGAAAATATGAATACATGAATACTGTAGGTTTTAGTCAAAGTATAATGTTGTGAATAAATCTCTCTAATATCCCCTCTCTCACCTCTCCCCTTTCTCCCCTCCACAGTCAGCTCTTCTGCTCCCTCTCAGACTCCCGCTTCCCGGACACAGTTGCGGTAAGCTTTGACCCGGTGAACGGCTGGCTGTCCTGCGTCTACAGCGACCACAGCGTGTATGTGTGGGACCTGCAGCACGAGAAAGACCCACACCTGATGCACAGAGACCCCAGAAGAGTGGGGAAACTCTACTCTGCTCTCTACCACTCGTCCTGCGTCTGGGGCCTGGAGGTGAGGCCTTTCATCACATACATGAAGAGAATTGGCTTTAGTCTGCTACTGATACTGAAGCAGTCTTTTGAAATGCGCACAATCAAATTTTTTTTGGTACACTCTTCTAAGTTCTTTCTATTATCTCACGAGGGGACACGGTAAAATTACAAACAATATAGAATTAGGGCCCGCTAAAGACCTGCTTTAGATCTGCTTTTAGACCTGGTTTTTGGCCTTTAGGACCTGTAGAAGAAGAGGGTGTGTTACAAAGCTAGTTTAAGTCCAGTGCTAATATGCTGTAAAGTGCAGTAGTTTGTATAAAGTGCAGTAGTTGGGATAAATTTAGCTCCACAAATAAAGAGGAAGTCGCTTTTTAAAGGAATTGTTAATCTGATCAGACAACAATTGTGCCCAAAGAGCAAATTGAATGAATTATGTTTGGTCCTCGTGGTAAACTGTGGAACTTGCACCCTGTGAATGTCTTTCTTTTAAAGTTTTATTCATAACGTTGGGACGGATTGGACAAAGTTTCTCTTATACTAACTGTGTCCGATATGGGGAATATTTTCCCAATGATTTACTAAGAACAGCCTCGTATTTCCTGCTCCCCAACATTTCAATGTTTAATTTCCTCAGATTTACCCGGACTGCGCCGAGCGCCTGCTGCCGCCGGGATCCTTCCTGTCCTGCTCCTCAGACTCCACCATCAGGATTTGGAGCCTGGACCCGAGTCCCAGCAGGAACATCCTTAGCCACGTGAGGCCTACTTTAGACCTGCTTTAGTCAGGCTTTTGTCTGGCTTGAGTCCTGCTTTAGACCTGTTTAGATCTGGTGTCTGGCCTTCCTCAGGACCTGCAGAAGATCCTGTTCGTGGATGAAAACCTGTCCCTCTTATTGGACGCGGAGTTGTCAGTTGCCGGGGGAAACGGGGACAAAGCGGGGCCAGAGGAGCAGAGGGCGGGGCTCCGGACTCTGAAGGTCCGACCTGACGGGGCTCACCTGGCGTCTGGAGACAGACAGGGGGCGCTACGGTAATCGCTTCACAGGAACGAACCGACAACAAGTATTTAAATTATGACTAAAAAACATGTTGGTGGCTATAGAAATGACCCACATGACTGAGGGTGATTTAAGGACATTTATGGACTTTAGTCATCTGCCTCTTATGGACCAATGACTTTTTTGTTGTCATTGTATTTCCTGTGTTTGAAGTCAGAGCTATATAAAAGTGAAATTTGAATTGAATACCACATTTTGGACACTGCTAAAGGGAACAATCATTTACAACAGACAAGTATAAAAAACTAACTTATCATCAATATTTGTGTAAATCTGTTTGTTCAATTTGTTTTTCTGCTGTGTCCAGGATCCACGACCTGCGCAGTATGGAGGAGATCCTCAACGTTCAGGCCCACGACTCAGAGATCCTGTGTCTGGAGTTCTCTAAACCTGACACTGGTGCGAGCTCTGCCTCCAAATCCACTTTCTCTCAGTATCTCCCAGTCACTCCTGGAGCTGTGTTTGAATTGGGGATGTAAATCGGCGACCGTTTAATCGGTGGTTGACCGTCACAGCGTTAACCAGTCAAAGCTGTCGGTTAAAAAAAAGAAAAGGGGGAGGAGGGGGGGGTCTCCTAATAATGCTATTTTAAGCCCTGTTTGCACGGTGTGAAGGAGCGGGTCAGTCTCTAGCTGTCTGTACCAATGTATTCGTAAACTCCGGGCCGACTTTCATGCTGCACGCGCCACACACATACACATGCATGCACACACACACACATGCACTCACACATACATACATGCACGCACACACAAATGCCATTACATACTCGCGCACCCTTTCCCTCCCATTCATACGTACAGTAGCATCCACACGCATCATCCATACTCTCGTCCGTCTCTCCCCTCCGCTACTAGTCTGCCAAAGTTGCACACTTGTGCGGGTTAAAACTCCATTGGAGCATACATATACACACATACATTTACCGGTCTGTCGCGCTCCTGTGTCTTTGCAGCCCAAAGGATCCTCACAAATACCCAGCTCCAGTCAAACCACATGGGAACATGTTTGTGCTGCTGGTGCTTGACATTAGATCAGCTCCTCACACATCACTTGTATTAAAACTTTAGAGACCTGCGAGACACAGCTCGCTGCTCTTACCATGTGGACAAGCCGTAGTTTGCTGCTAAAAAGCTTTAACCTGCAGTGCAGAAGAATGCCGCTGTCTCGGCTCTGATCTAGTAAAACCAGTGGGGGTGGGTCCCGGTGTTCTGTCGAGTTGGTCTGCCCGTCGAGATGATCTGGCTCAGCTGTTAATGATGTAATGCAAACCAGCACTGCGCGTCTCACGGCAGCCAAAGCAATCCAAGATGGCGGACATGTAGTCCGCGGATTGCTTTAAAAGTTAAATACGAACAAATTAAGACACGAATGTCACTTTTAATGCAATTTGAGGCGAGATGTTGATGGTTCCGCGTTGTGATATGTAGGTTTTTAGAGTAAGAGTTTCGTGTAAAGTTTGTTTTAAGCAGTCCACTGATCCTGTGAAACTACACTGCTAGTGTGCCCAAATCTGACTTGCGCATGCGCAGAAACCCGCCAGAATGGGGAAAAAACTCGACCTAATTAAATATTTCGTTTGAACACACTAATATAATCATATTGAATACAGTATGATACATGCATACATTTTAATTTATTATTTCCATTATCAACCCGACAGACCAGTCACAGGACGCGTCATGGGCCTGACGTACGCAGCAGTCAACTCAGGGACTGCGATCACACAGCAGCAGTGTAGTTTCACAGGATCAGTGGACTGCTTAAAAACAAACTTTACACGAAACTCTTACTCTTAAAACACATATTTCACAACGTGGAACCATCAACATCTCGCCTCAGATTGCATTAAAAGTGACATTCGTGTCTCAATTCGTTTTGTATTTAACTTTTAAAGCAATTCGCGGACTACATGTCCGCCATCTTGGATTGCTTCGGCTGCCGTGAGACACGCATGCGCAGGTTTGCATTACATCTTTAACAGCTGAGCCAGATCATCTCGACGGGCAGACCAACTCGGCCAAAATGACGTGCGCTGACATGCTTGCAATAACACCCCGGGCCGATGGGGGTGGACGCGGAATAAGAATTAGCCAATGCTAATATATAGCATCTTCTTACCTTGAAAACGTCTTTACAGGATGGTCCAAAAGTTGGCTCCGTTCCACATGTGTGTCAATGCTGAGGGGAGTGATTTTTTTTTGGAGCAGTCTAGTTTACTTGCCGTGAATTTTTGAAGTAACTCGTTTAAATGAATGGGGCTCGTCCCGGCTGACGCATGCGCAGATGCGTTTTTTTCACACACCAGCCCCGCGGTCATTTTGAATCACTCCATGAAAGCCCAATTTTTGGCCCATTAGTTAGAACGGCGAAGATAGGCGTGACTACGTCCGTTAATATATACAGTCTATGAATAAAACGCATAGCTGCACTTATGAAAAGAGCTTGGCTCGAAATGGCTATTATTTCAGACAATGTGGAATATTTTAAACTACGTGGTTAACCGGTTAAGGAGGCTCTGTGGTCGGTCATGAAAATTCATAGTTTTTTACATCCCTAGTTTACATCTTCCATCACTAACACGTAGCTCCGCCCCTTCTGTTGAAAAGCTCCTGTCTCAGAGTACAATGAAATCACAATGTTACAGGACTAACATTGTGATACAGTGCCTTGCGAAAGTATTCGGCCCCCTTGAACCTTTCAACATTTCACCACGTTTCAGGCTTCAAACATAAAGATATAAAAATTAATTTTTTTGTCAAGAATCAACAACAAGTGGGACACAATCGTGAAGAGGAATGAAATTTATTGGATAATTTAAACTTTTTTAACAAATAAAAAACTGAAAAGTGGGGCGTGCAATATTATTCGGCCCCCTTGCGCTAATACTTTGTAGCACCACCTTTTGCTGCAATTACAGCTGCAAGTCGCTTGGGGTATGTCTATCAGTTTTGCACATCGAGAGACTGGAATTTTTGCCCATTCTTCCTTGCAAAACTGCTCGAGCTCAGTGAGGTTGGATGGAGAGCGTTTGTGAACAGCAGTCTTCAGCTCTTTCCACAGATTCTCGATTGGATTCAGGTCTGGACTTTGACTTGGCCATTCTAACACCTGGATACGTCTATTTGTGAACCATTCCATTGTAGATTTGGCTTTATGTTTTGGATCATTGTCCTGTTGGAAGATAAATCTCCGTCCCAGTCTCAGGTCTTTTGCAGACTCCAACAGGTTTTCTTCCAGAATGGTCCTGTATTTTGCTTCATCCATCTTCTCATCAATTTTAGCCATCTTCCCTGTCCCTGCTGAAGAAAAGCGGGCCCAAACCATGATGCTGCCACCACCATGTTTGACAGTGGGGATGGTGTGTTCAGGGTGATGAGCTGTGTTGCTTTTACGCCAAACATATCGTTTTGCATTGTGGCCAAAAAGTTCGATTTTGGTTTCATCTGACCAGAGCACCTTCTTCCACATGTTTGGTGTGTCTCCCAGGTGGCTTGTGGCAAACTTTAAACGAGACTTTTTATGGATATCTTTGAGAAATGGCTTTCTTCCTGCCACTCTTCCATAAAGGCCAGATTTGTGCAGTGCACGACTGATTGTTGTCCTATGGACAGACTCTCCCACCTCAGCTGTAGTTATCTGCAGTTCATCCAGAGTGATCATGGGCCTCTTGGCTGCATCTCTGATCAGTCTTCTCCTTGTTTGAGATGAAAGTTTGGAGGGACGGCCGGGTCTTGGTAGATTTGCAGTGGTCGGATACTTCTTCCATTTCAATGTAATTGCTTGCACAGTGCTCCTTGAGATGTTTAAAGCTTGGTAAATCTTTTTGTATCCAAATCCGGCTTTAAACTTCTCCACAACAGTATCTCGGACCTGCCTGGTGTGTTCCTTTGTCTTCATGGTTCTTTCTGCGCTTTAAACAGAACCCTGAGACTATCAAAGAGCAGGTGCATTTATACGGAGACTCGATTACACACAGGTGCATTCTATTTATCATCATCAGTCATTTAGGACAACATTGGATCATTCAAAGATCCTCACTGAACTTCTGGAGTGAGTTTGCTGCACTAAAGTAAAGGGGCCGAATAATATTGCACGCCCCACTTTTCAGTTTTTTATTAGTTAAAAAAGTTTAAATTATCCAATAAATTTCGTTCCACTTCACGATTGTGTCCCACTTGTTGTTGATTCATGACAAAAATTCTATATCTTTTATGTTTGAAGCCTGAAATGTGGCGAAATTTTGAAAGGTTCAAGGGGGCCGAATACTTTCACAAGGCACTGTATCATTGACTCTGACATCACACTCAAAGCAGATTTCTGTTGAAGAAGATGACATAGTCTGGGATCGCGTCTTTAATTCAGACAGAAGACATGTTTTATTGTCGATGGTAGAGACAGCACGAACAAAGCACACGATCACAGATACAATAGAATGCAAGTGTATTATACAGAGCGGAGGCATGGAGACCTCCAATCAGCAGCTGCCACGGTGTGCTTGTAGCTTGGCCTTCAGATAGACAAAACAAGGGAAGAGTACTGGCTTCTGCACATTGATAGAATGATGAGTTTAACTTTAACAAAAGTTGCTTCAAAGTGTTATGAAATCTCATATTCCCCCCTCTGGTCATACATTCACGTGTGACCATCAGGATCGATAAACAGCAACATAACATCATAACTCAATACTTCAAAAACTCATAAACTCGGTACTTCAAAAAACTCAGAACTCGGAATACTTCAAAAACTCAGAAAACTCATAAAACATGTTCAGATCTTTCATAAAACTTGTCAACAATCTTCAGTAAAATACCAAACTTCATCAGTCGATGGTGGTTCCAGACATTGCTTTGAAAACAGTCTCTTCCACTTCTCCGTGTTGTTTCTTCAGGCTGCATTTGTGTCGAGCCATGAATTCTTCTGTGACGTGTCTTTCAATCACACGTTTCAGCTTTAGTGTCCAGATTCAGAAATCCAATTCAGTCCAAATTATGTCCAAATTCAGAAATCCAGATTGTTCCAAATTATGTCCATGCAAAAGAGGACGCTGGTATTGTCCATGTCTCAGCAGCTCACAGCCTGACTGGAATCAGGGGCTGTGCAGATTGTCCATGTGTGCTGGTCCAGATGCATTCTCTTGAGGTTTCTCAGTTTTGGCTTAAAAAAAAAAACACTTTTTGTGTAAAAAAAAAAAGTCTTCTGTTCTCTAGATGTTACAGACAAGGCCCGCATCCTTCCACCACCTGAAGAAGATGGCATAGTCTGGGATCGCGTCTTTAATTCAGACAGAAGACATGTTTTATTGTCGATGGTAGAGACAGCACGAACAAAGCACACGATCACAGATACAATAGAATGCAAGTGTATTATACAGAGCGGAGGCATGGAGACCTCCAATCAGCAGCTGCCACGGTGTGCTTGTAGCTTGGCCTTCAGATAGACAAAACAAGGGAAGAGTACTGGCTTCTGCACATTGATAGAATGATGAGTTTAACTTTAACAAAAGTTGCTTCAAAGTGTTATGAAATCTCATACTGTCTCTGAAACCAAAGTATTGAACATAATTTTGTGCAAAAATGCAGCCAGTAATTTTCAATTTAGGAAGAAACATCTAGACAATTCCTCCTCCTCCCCCTGGAGGCATCACAGGGAGTTACAGACAGAAAGCAAATTGTACTCTTCTAAATGACAGGACAAAGTAAATAGTCTCATGATCTTTTTTTTAAAGGTCAAAAATAATTTATTTAAAATAACAATGGAGAAAGCATTTGGAACAGTTGCATTTTGTTATTATCGTTTTTAATAACGTTTATTAAGAGGAATAGCCCCTTGAGATTAATCATCTGAGGGAGTCCTCAAAATCAAATACAAAATAACAATACAGCAGCTACAGTCCAATATTTACAAAATGAGCAATTACAGTTTTAAAGTGCTCTAACACAGCGTTCATAAACAAACAAAGGGAGGGACTCTGTGTGGGTTTGTATGTGTGTGTCTGTGTGTGCCTGTTGTATGCTTTATCTGTCTTAATACCAACCTGCCATGGGACTACGGATGAAAATTAGCCTACATGGCTAACTCTGGCACATTTACATGTTAAAAAACACATGTTGATGAATGTGCACTGTCCCAATTCAAATAAAGATTACAAAAAAAAAAAAGGGTGCGAATAGCAGGTGGAAGAAGGGTCCAGTTTGTCTGGGCTTTATAATGAAAAACATGTTTTCCAATTTCTTTATTTTTACAGTGCTGTGGAAGAAAAGAGTATCTGTGTCAGTAGTAGTAGTAGTAGTAGTAATCTTTATTTATATACCGCCTTTTCACTGCACATCGGAGTCTCAAAGCGGTTTACAATTGTGATTTTTTTTTGGGAGTGGGGGTGCCAGCACAGGAGGCACATGCCAGACCTATTGTACATATTTTTAGTGGTAGGGGAAACCGGAGCACCCGGAGGAAACCTACGCAGACACGGGGAGAACATGCAAACTCACCTCAGAAAGGCCCTGGGCCAACCGGGATTTGAACCCAGGACCTTCTTGCTGAGAGGCGAGAGTGCCTCTCAGCACTGTGACGACAATTTTAAGTGGAACTAAAAGGTGCAAGATATTGTATCAAGTATGTGGGATAATTAAAATAATGATACTTAAAAATGAAAAACAACCAGTGGGAGTGTGGACGTGCAGGCAGTGAGGACCAAGACAGTTGGAGAAACATGTCACAGTGGTGTGTCCTGTAGGGGCAGCGCAGAGCAAACCTACACAGGCTGTTATAGACTGTATTGAGGGGTGTGGAGACGTGGCAGTTGTGTTTTGATAAACAATGTCGGCATAATCAAGGATTGGAAGAAATAACTGAGGAACAAGCCTTTTCCTAACGGAATGCCTTAGGAATATGAGTTTTAAAAGAGAGGCTTGAATCCAGCCAAAAGCTGATTTACTTGAACTATTCCAAACATTTAACAGGAGACAAATCTAGAAAGTTGAGCTCAGGTAAATAATTTTCTTCTTAAAAAGCATGCAATATGATTGGGTATATTTGCTATGAATTTATTGGACAAGAGCCAATGTTGAACTAAATCAAAATCATATTGCAGGGTGTTGCAAATATCTGAGATGTTTGGTTTTGAACAGTCAATAATAGTATCATCTGCATATAACTGGATGTCACAATTAGAACAGATGCTCTGGAGGTCAATAATGAACATTGAAGAGAATTAAAGGGCCCAAATAGGAACCTTGTGGAATACCTTCGTCTATGCCAGCGAGATTTGACTGGCTGCCACAATCTGGGCTATACCCAGATTGTGAAGTTTGTCCAAAAGTAAATAGTGATCAACCAAATCAAAGACTTTGGTCAAGTAAATAAACTTTTGTCAAAACTTTAACATTTTCAAAGGGCAGTAGTTCTGGAGTCGTTTTCCTGAAGCCAGATTGGTTATGGGATAAAAGATCATTGTCAGTGAAAATTAGAAAAAAAAAATCTAATTAATTAGAGGCTTTGTAATTAATTAATCGCATTTTAATCGCTTATAAATATTTGACCTGAGAACAGTGAGAAGTATTTTTTTTTCCCATCCACGGGACCAACCAACACGGTCACATCAGCTTCTTTGTTCAGGTTCACTGTGGTTAGTTGTTGTCTGAATCGAATTCATGCGCGTTAGTTGGTGCTCCTGTACAATCGGTTCGTCTGTGGCCCCGTCCACACGTAGCCGGGTATCTGCTAAATTGCAAATATTTGTCTTTGTTTGCTGTCATCCACGTAACAACGCATCATAAACGTATATATAAAAAAAACTCCGGGCAAAGTGAAGATTTTTGAAAACTCCGTTTATGCATTTGCGTGTAGACAGAGATAAACAGAGTTTTGTGTTTTCGCATCTCACAATATGTGCCAAAACAACAACAAACAAAACGTGCGACCTCTGATCACTGAAGCATGGAGCTTGCTGCATTAAAAACTGTTCGCTGCTGCGAGTGGTTTTTACAAGGAACATCCTTGCTCCACATCAGAGCAGCAAAGTGATCACGGAGACTCACGCTCGAAAACAACCAAAACAGGAGCTAAACCAGGATTAAACCAGGGCTGAGGATGGGGGTCAGTGCTTGTAAACATGTCTTCACCCTGAATTTCTACTATGACTGTAAAAGTGCCGCTACAGAAGTACCGGCGTCAGTATCAAAGCTCCGCCCACTTCTGTGCTTTTCCCCCAACGCAGGACAGGACGTCAGAGGACGCACATGTTTGGAATGTGATTGAAAACGCAGATGTTCGGTTATGTGTGGATGCAAATTATTTTATAAATGGAGGGGGGGGGTAATATTCTGTTTTAAAAATACCCTACTACGGCCTAAAGCTCATCCAGTGAGAAACGTTTCGCGGTGCAAAATTAAATATGATGAAAATTTTAATTAACGCGTTAAAATCCCAGCCCTAATAAGTAGATAGCTGATTTAAAAAAATCCTCAAAGACTTTGACGATACTATTGATGATTGAATGGGTCTGTGGTTGTTCTCGGGGTCACAAGATTTATGTAGTGGAATTACTTTGGCACATTTCTGGGAAAGAGGGATAGTGTAGCCAAGGGAGTTGATAAGAGCCTATTTTAATGAATTTATTTTCAGTGCCATCTAGTCCAGCACTGCTGTTGAAGGACCATAGGAGTATGGTCCTTTCGAGAGACTAATTTCTGCAAATGAAAAAACTGTTGCAGGGTTGGGTGTAGTGGTCAGAAGCAGCTTGATGGAAAGGAGTATGAACATGAGATTAGGAGAAATGCAGAAAGCTGGCAATAGTAGTGGGGACATTTGTTATTTCATTGTATTCATATTTATAGTGCTTTTATTCGATTTACCAAGTAGATTGTGAAAAATGTATGTACTACTCGTACAACAATACATTTCTGCTCCATTCGAAAGTTAATATTATTTGATCTTGTATGATAAAATCCATTGAATTCAACATGCCCTTATGCTCCATGTGTGTTAGCACTGTTCCTGGATCAGGTGTTAGACAGAGCCCTGCGTCTGCTTCTGTCTCAGTAGTAATCTGTGGCACACAAGGAAAACAGCTGAGAAACCACAGCCACCTTTGGATTCTTTTGAATTGGATGTTGGTTTGTGTGTGACTTTGTGAGAGAGTATGTGTGTATGCGTCTGTGTGTGTGTGTGTTCACTGAGCTCTTTAAACCTGCTTCACCCTCAATGCTACTTTACGACCACATTCCTCACACTCTCACAACCACAAGCACACACACGCACACATGCAAAGTTGGATATATTTAGTGTAACTGTTCCTGATCCAGTCTGAGTGACGTGTGTGTTGTTGTGTTGCAGGGCTGCAGTTACTGGCCTCGGCCAGCAGGGACAGACTTATCCATGTGCTGGACTCCGGAGCAGACTATTCCCTGGTGCAGACTCTGGACGAACACTCCTCCTCCATCACTGCTGTGCGCTTCACAGGTAACACACACATACATGCGCACACACACAAATGCACAGAGCAGACAACTGTTGCCTGTCACTTGAAGCTGAATGTTTTGCTCACGATGACGTCATTGTGTTTCAGCCAATGAGGGACGAGTACGGATGATCAGCTGTGGCGCCGACAAAAGTGTGTACTTCAGAACTGCTCAGAAGGTACTGTGGAAAATCAACCACACAGAGACGGGATCTTTGCACAACAGAGCTCCTGAAAGTTTATTCAGTTTCTCTCTCAGGTTTCTTCCAGGTTTCTTCCAGGTTTTTTCAGGTTTTTTCAGAGGACATGGTTTTTATTGTCATTGTTACATCACAGATACGTCATACATGGAAAGGCATACATGTCGCATCTAGAGACAATCAGAACATATCAGTCATAACATGGATACACTATCAGAGTCCTTGTGGCTGTGAGGGCCAGATATTTTGTCTTGCGTTTGTCCACCTGCGAGTCCAGTCCAGTTATGGTTCATTCATGGTCCATGGTTTCTCCTCAGACGGAGGAGGGGCTGCTCTTCAGTCGGACTCATCACGTTGCGAGGAAGACGACTCTGTACGACATGGACATCGAGCCAAACAGGAAGTACGCAGCTGTGGGCTGTCAGGACCGCAGTATACGGTGAGAACTAATATATATATTAGGGATGTCAAACGATTACATTTTTAATGGAAATCATTGTTTGAATGGAAATATAAATGACAACATAGTGTACTTATGTATTTGTTTGTTATAACCAGTAGGGGCGGGTCCCAGCTCAAAAGTGGCAAAAATGACGTGCGCTGACATGCTTGCAATACCACCCCGGGCCGATGGGGGTGGACCCAGGAGAAGAATTAGCCAATGCTAACATATAGCATTGGCAGACCTCTCGAAAACGTCTTTACAGGATGGTCCAAAAGCTGGCTCTTGGCCCAAAGCTCCGTTCCACATGTGTGTCAATGCTGAGGGGGGTGAATTTTTTTGGACCACTCTAGTTTATTTGCTGTGAATTTTTGAAGTCTCTCGTTCAAATGAATGGAGCTGCGCCGGCTGGCGCAGATGCGTTGGCTACGGCCGCGCTGGACAGCAGTTCCCACCTACAGCCGCTGTGAGTGGGAACTGCTGTCCAGCGCAGCCGTAGCTGCCCCGGGTCAGAACGCTGCGGCCACAGAGGATCGGAAATCCCGTTCGAGTTCATACAGCAAACAGCAAGTGCCCTGCAGTCATGCGTGCCCCCCTCAAGCATTTCTCAACAAATTTAGAAAGTTCACACACATGTTTTTTTGTATGAAGCAGGCAGACTGGCCCAAATATGGGCATCGGCATTGCCCAATACAATCGATGACCAGTCATTTGGCACATGCGTCAAATGCGTAAAATTAATTAACGTGCTTTAACACAATACTTTTGACAGTCCTATATATAAACAACAACAAAAATATAAATGCAACACTTTTGTTTTTGCTCCCATTTTCCATGAGGTCTTTTCCATTTAAAGATCTAAAATTCATTCCAGATACACAATATAAGCATTTCTCTCAAACATTGTTCACAAATCTATCTAAATATGTGATAGTGAGCACTTCTGCTTTGCTGAGACTATCCATCCCACCTCACAGGTGTGCCACATCAAGATGCTGATCCGACATCATGATTAGTGCATAGGTGTGCCTTAAGGCGCGTTCAGACTGCTGACGCTAGAACGCTGCCGCCTCGCGCACCAGACGCACATTCTCTAATTTTCAGACGCAGGGGTGTTCAGACCAGTTGCGGTGGCTCCCGCCGGAAGTGGCGGAAGTAGCGAGCGGACTTTGATGCTAACGGAGTTAAGCTAGCGGCTGTTTGTGTAAAGTTCTTCTCCAATAATGCAGCTCTGCAGCGTCTCTGTGTCCAGAGACCTTCAGGGACTTTATATAACAGTATGTGTTCACGGAGGTGCGCCATAAGTTTAATTTATTATTAAACGGTACTTCCGCATTGGTATACACGCTCGAAGCAGTTGCATAAAGTCACGGGATACATAAACGCATATGTTCAAAAGCACTATTTCCGCCATTGTCAACCCTGATTTAGTCCTGGTGTCAGGAATGAATCCAGAGACGGATCGGAAGTAACCATTAACCTGTAGTTCCAGGGAGCTAGCTAGCTTAGCTGTTACCTGCCTAGCACGTCCTGGTGGAACCTTTGGGAGCTAACTATTTTATTTGCAGTTATTGAATACATTGCTGTCTAATATGTGTTCGGATATATATATTTTTTATTTATTTTAGAACTATATTCTAATTTCGAAGCCGAAGCCCTTTTTTTTAGCAGCGCTGCAGGGGCTAGAGGAAGCAGGCTGTTCGCCGCTTGTTCTGTGAGTGGAGGAGAACGAGCGTCCCGCTAAGACTCTACTAAGTACTTTTCACTGCTTGTAATTCTTACACAGCTGAATCAATCACCTCAAGTTTTCAATTAAATTACGGATTATAATACAACTTGTATGTAGTAATAAGCATTTTTATCAACTACTTAGAAAATAAATCGGGTATAGCTTCTTTAACATTTATCTCAGCATAATATTCTACTAATTTAAAATAATTGCAGCCTTTTCAAATTAAGTCAATATGAATTGGAGCACATTTCAGAGCAGTCTCCTCTGCTGTGCGCATCAGCAGCAGGAGCAAGGTCAGAGCTAGACAAAACAAAAAACTTGCAATGTGAATTGGGTGAAAGTTCAACTCAATAATATAATACTTTTACAGCTAATCCTAATTCCCTCTTTCTTTTTAGACGAAGTCTATGATCAATAATCACTTTTAACACAGATTCTAATTTAAATGTTATGAACTACGGCTTTTTGTAACTATAATGGAAAAGCATAAAAACAAACACAACTCACAAACAGTTAAGAAATATCAGCAGGTTTAAAAGAATGGAATCTAGAAATATATTAGCAGATCTAAAAAGAATTGCACAGCTTTAGCACTAATATTTGGGTTTCTAATAGGGATGTAAATCGGCGACCGTTTAACCGGTGGTTGACCGTCACAGCGTTAACCGGTCAAAGCTGTCGGTTAAAAAAGAGAAAAAGGGGAGAGGGGAGGTCTCTTAATAACGCTATTTTAAGCCCTATTTGCACGATGTGACGAGCGGGTCCATATCTAGCTGTGTGCGCCCATGTATTATAAACTCCGGGACGACTCTCACGCCGCACGCGCCACATATGCACACACGCGCGCGCACACACACACACACACACGCACGCGCACATACACACACACACACACACTTTCCCCCTCTCCATACGTAACATCCACACGCATCATCTCTCCCCTCTGTTACCGTCAAAGTTGCACACTGGCGCGAGTCAGAACTACATTGGAGCTTACATTTACACACACACACACATATACATACACACACACATACACACACACACACATACACACACACATACAGGTCTGTCGCGCTCCTCTGTGTCACGGAGCCCAAAGGATTCGCGCAAATACACGGCTCCAGTCAAACCACATGGAACATGTTTGTGTTTATGGTCCTCGGGATCAGCTCCACACACATCACTTGTATTTAAACTTTTGTGAAGACCTGTGAGACGCGGCTCGTCACTCGCTGCTCTGACCATGTGAACGAGCCGTCGTTTGCTGCTAGAAAGTTTTGGTATTAACCCGCAGCACAGCAGAATGGGAAGATTAAAAAAGCAGTTCTCTGTGCGCAAAGGTGCCGAAGCTGTTGCGGGTTTGGGCGCCGCTGTCTCAACTCTGATCCAGTAGAACGCAGAGCTGCACTTATGAAAAGTACGTGGCTCGAAATGGCTGTTATTTCAAAGAACGTGGACTATTTTAAACTACGCGGTTAACCGGTTTCAACCGGTTAATGAGGCTCGGTGGTCGGTCATGAAAATTCATAGTTTTTTACATCCCTAGTTTCTAAACATAATAATTCAAAACTTCTATTCCCTAAATGTGTTTAAAAACAGTTTACTGTGTCATAACACAATGTTCAATCGCAAATTTAGCAAATTTAGCAAAATTCTAAAGGCAGGTTTGTTTTGATTCAGAGCCGGAGTAGCGAAGGAGGGGGCCGTTTCCCCTGACAACGGCAGCAAGATAGAACACACACAGGCAGAAAGATACAGAAGAAGAACTTTCAAGATTACTTTTTTAAGCTAATATAACTGATGTTGTAGTTTATACTTTTGTCATCCAAGTCTAGAAATGGCCACTTTAAACACTAGTAACAAAAGGCACTCTTATTGTTTAACGTTTCCCTTTTTATTATTACTTTTAATTTTTACACCATGGTTTCACTAAGTATTTTCTATTCTCTATTCTCTGCCCCGGCTACTCCAAAGGGCAGGGACCCCGATACTTCAAGGGGTTCTTTTTACTCTCTGCCCTGACTACTTCAAAGGCAGGGACACCAATACATCATCTATAACAACGACAAACCCTGGTTCACTGCTAAACTCCGGCAGCTCAGAAAAGCAAAGGAGTCTGCTTTCAGGGAGGGGGACCGCAGCGGCTACAAAGCAGCTAAATATCAGTTCAGGAAAGAACTGAAAGCACCCAAGTCCCGGCACAGAGAACGACTACAGGAGCAGTTTGGTAACAATGATACTGCTTCTGTCTGGAGGGGCCTACGGGAGATCACCAACAACAAGCCCAAAGCCCCCCCCTGTGCTGACGACCACAAGCTAGCTGACGAACTGAACTTATTTTTCAGTCGCTTTGATGCTGCCCCTGACACCTCTCCCTCCCCCACCCCCCACTACTTTAACGACCCACCCACCCATCAGCCCTGCCCCCAGCCTGACAATAGCCTCTAAAGATATGAAACAACTCTTCTTAAGGCTGCACCCCCGCAAAGCTCCTGGCCCGGACCACGTGTCTCCGGCCACTCTGAGACACTGCGCCAGTGAGCTTACTCCTGTGTTCACTGACATTTTCAACACCTCTCTGCAGTCCTGCCATGTCCCGGCCTGCTTCAAATCCTCCATCATTGTCCCCGTCCCGAAGAAGCCCAGGATCACAGGACTCAACGACTACAGACCTGTAGCACTTACGTCTGTCGTCATGAAGTCATTAGAACGTCTGGTCCTCTCCCATCTCAAGTCCTTCACCTCCCCCCTCCTGGACCCCCTGCAGTTCGCCTACAGAGCCAACAGATCTGTAGACGACACCATTAACCTGGCCCTCCACCACATCCTACAGCACCTGGACTCCCCGGGGACCTACGCCAGGGTCCTGTTCGTGGACTTCAGCTCTGCCTTCAACACGATCCTGCCATCCCTGCTCCAGGACAAGCTCTCCCTGCTCAACGTGCCCGATTCCACCTGCAGGTGGATCACTGACTTCCTGACAGACAGGAAGCAGCGAGTGCGTCTGGGGAAGAATGTCTCGGACTCTCGGATGATAAATACAGGAGCCCCACAGGGCTGTGTTCTTTCTCCCCTGCTCTTCTCCCTGTACACCAACCACTGCACCTCCAGCCACGACTCCGTGAAGCTGATCAAGTTCGCGGACGACACCACCCTCATTGGACTCATCTCCAACAACGATGAGTCCGCCTACAGGAGGGAGGTGGACCGGCTGGTGTCCTGGTGCAGTGGTAACAACCTGGAGCTGAGACAGTGGAGATGATTGTGGACTTCAGGAAGAGCACTGTCCCCCCGCCCCCACCCTCCGTGATGGACTCCCCCATCACCTCTGTGGAGTCCTTCCGTTTCCTGGGCACCACCATCACCCAGGATCTCTGGTGGGAGCCGACCATCAGCTCCCTCATCAAGAAGGCCCAGCAGAGGATGTACTTCCTGCGGCAGCTCAGGAAAGCCAAGCTGCCTGCACAGATGTTGGTGCAGTTCTACACGGCCATCATCGAGTCCATCCTCACCTCCTCCATCACCGTGTGGTTCGCTGGAGCCACAGTCAGGGACAAACAGACTACAGCGCATTGTGCGCTCTGCAGAGGAAGTGATCGGCCGCCGCCTTCCATCGCTGCAGGACCTATACGTCGCCCGAGCTCGAGGCCGGGCTGGTCGTATCACAGCCGACCCCTCTCACCCTGCACATGGACTATTCCAACCACTCCCCTCAGGCAGGAGACTGCGGTCCATCAGGACTAGAACCTCCCGCCACAAGAACAGTTTCTTCCCCTCTGCTGTTGGACTCTTGAACACTTTTTAACCTGTCCCCGCGCCCTTTATAAAGTCACTTTACTGCCCATCATATGTCACTTTACTTCACTGTACTGCTGTCACCTTACATTGTGTGCACCATGTGGACTTGTATATTGTAAACAGTAACTCTATTTTAAATTTAAATTTATTCCTCAGAAGTGTTTTTTATTCTTTATTTTTATTATCTCTTTCTGACTGTTGCACTGAGCCAAAGCAATTTCCAAGTCTGTGACTTCCTGTTACTTACGTGGCAATAAAAATTATTCTGATTCTGACATCAAGGGGTTCCTTTTTCTCTCTGGCCTGACTACTTCAAAGGACAGAGACCCCGATACATCAAGGGGTTCCTTTTTCTAAGGGCCTTTATCCCATCAGGTAGCGAACCTGTTTTTAAATCTAATCTGATCTATAGATATGACATTTGGTAGACCTCAAAACAGACCAAAATTTAGTTCACTCAATTAGCAGACTTTGAATAAACAGGTGTCCGCTCTTACCTTTTGTCGAACAGGGCCCATGCACCGTCAAAAGTCCACCAAATATCAGCTTTTCCACGTCCAACCGGGTCTCCCAGAACATGAACCAGCGCTCACTAGTACCGGGAACTAGTTTCCATCGGCAGAGACCAATCAAACGTCAGAAATCCCCGGAATGTTGACATGGGAAAACAATTTTAAACGCTTAGTCAGTCCAAAAAAGAGGACAAAGGAATATATAGTGAGAGAGCAAAAAAGCCCCGAAATCGTCACCTCTCCAGCCTGCTGGATAGCACCCAACTCCAGATGCTCTCAGCTCTCTCACGCCGAGAAAAAGAAAACAAAGGAAACTCCCTCAAAACAATCCAGAGAATGGCGCACACTGAGCCGCGCATCCTCCACCAAATCTGTCAGGAATTAACCAGACAGAGACGGATCGTGGTGCGCCAAACTCTGGAAGTTTATTCAAGTTTCTCTCAAGTTCCAGTGGTTTCCATTGTTTCTTTCTCTCAGACAGAATAAAGGCAGTACACAGTTTATATAGTCATTGTCACGTCACACATCAAAAGACATACGTGTTACACAGAGACAGTCACATCATAGTCAAAACATGGATACACAGTCAAGAGTCCTAGGCCATATTGCTATCTAATACTAACACTGGTGTAGTTCCTGTTTTGGCTGTTTAAGAGTATGTTCAGTCTGCTCGCTCAGACCGCTAATGTCCCCGTGACCACTTTGTGGCTCTGATTGGTCGCTGCACGAGTGTCCCGAGGAAGCGCTCAACAATATTTATCTCCTGCGTGTGTCGATTTTCCGCTCCTGCGCCTCTGTCGCACCTTTGCCGCGCAGTCCGTGCGTCTCTACTGTGCAGTTTGTGCTTGCACCCCGAGATGCACATGCAGTTCCACGCTCGAACGTGGGTCACAATTGACTTTGAATTGAAAGTTGCCGCAACGCATGATCCGGTCTGAACGCGGCATTAGACTGTCCACAATAAAAGGCCACTCTGAAATGTGCAGTTCTGTCTCTCAGCAAAATGCCACAGATGCCACAAACCTTGAGGGAGCGTGCAATTGGCATACTTACAGTAGGAATGTCAACCAGATCTGTTGCTCGTGCATTGAATGTTCATTTCTCCACCATAAGCAGTCTCCAAAAGGCGTTTCCAAGAATATGGCTGTATATCCAACTGGCCTCAGAACCACGGACCACGTGTAACCACACCAGCCCAAGACCTCCACATCCAGCAGGTTCACCTCCAAGATCGTCTGAGACCAGCCACTGAGACAGCTGCTGAAACAGACATTGTTTGGTTTGCATAACCAAACAATGTCTGCACAAACTGTCAGAAACCGTCTCAGGGAAGCTCAACTGCATGCTCGTCGTCCTCATCGGGGTCTTGACCTAACTCCAGCTCGTCGCCATAACAGACTTGAGTGGGCAAATGCTCACATTCGATGGCGTCTGGCGTCTTGGAGAGGTGTTCTCTTCACGGATGAATCTCTGTTTGCATTGTTCAGGGCAGCTTGTGTGGCGTTGTGTGGGTGAGCGCTTTGCTGATGCCAATGTTGTGGATCGAGTGGCCCATGGTGGCGGTGGGGTTATGGTATGGGCAGGCATCTGTTATGGTCAAAGAACAGAAGTGCATTTTATTGATGGCATTGTGAATGCACAGAAATACTGTGAGATCCTGAGGACCATTGCTGTGCTATACATCCATGAAAATCACCTCATGTTTCAGCAAGATAATGCACGGCCCCATGTTGCAAGGATCTGTACACAATTCTTGGAAGCTGAAAATGTCCCAGTTCTTGCATGGCCAGCATACTCACCGGACATGTCACCCATTGAGCATGTTTGGGATGTGCTTGACCTCATATACAACAGCGTGCATCAGTTCCCACTGATATCCAGCAACTTCGCACAGCCATTGAAGAGGAGTGGACAACATTACACAGGCCACAATTGACAATCTGATAAACTCTATGCGAAGATGATGTGTTGCACTGCATGAGGCAAATGGTGGTTACACCAGATACTGACTGGTTCTGAGTCCCCAGACCCCCAATAAAGCAAAATAATGCACATTTCAGAGTGACCTTTTATTGTGGCACACCTGTGCACTAATCATGTCAGATCAGCATCTTGATGTTTGTTAATGCTGTAATTTACAGTCAATCCTGACAAAATCACAAACACACAAGGCATAGTTCAGGCATTCTTTAATACTTGGTTGCCCTACCAAGGAGACAGTCTGTAGAGAAAGAGCACCAGCTCAACCTTGTGTCCAGAAACATGTCTGACCTTAGTCAGGCTGCAAACCAGTATCGCAGGAGATAAGACACCTTCCAGAGGAAGAGGAACCAACAGAAAACAAAAGGACAATGTGACAAGGCCTTCTCCATTACCATCCTTAAAGCCCGCTCCCCTCCATGTGGGCTCCCTCAAACCTCCCGGGACCAAAGTGAATTTTAGCATACAGTATATAATTTAGCCACACATGATTTACCAAAATGATAACTGAAGTTACATTCCAATCTCAATGTGGCACACCTGTAAGGTGGGATGGATTTTCTCAGCAAAGCAGAAATGCTCACTATCACACATTTAGACAGATTTGTGAACAATGGTTAAGATAAATGGTTATTTTGTGTATCTGGAATGAATTTCAGATCTTTAAGTCAGTCTTAAAGAATTTCAGATCTTTAAGTCAGTCTATAAATAAGTGAGCTTATTTATAGAATATATAGATAAATAGAATAAATTACATATACAATTTTTTTTTGTTTTTTATAGTGTGTGTGTTTTTGCAGAGTCTTCAACATCAGCAGTGGGAAACAGAAGCGGGTCTTCCGAGGCTCTCAGGGCGAAGACGGGACTCTCCTGAAGGTCAGACCTCAGTGTGACCTGCTGTCTGTTGGAAAATAATGAAAATAAAGATTGTTTTTCTCTGTGGTGTAGGTGCAGATTGATCCATCTGGACTCTACATCGCCACCTCCTGCTCAGACAAGAACATCAGCATCTTTGACTTCTACAGTGGGGAGTGTGTGGCTACGATGTACGGCCACTCAGGTAACACCGCTAATGCTAATACTGCTATTGCTACTGGTACTACTAGTGCTGCCCACTGCTGCTAAAGTGATTATAATCGTGTGGTTTTGTTGCAGAGATTGTGACGAGTTTGAAGTTCAGCTCTGACTGTCGGCATCTTCTGTCTGCGTCCGGAGATAGGTACAACACAAACCTGCCACAGATGACACAATACTACACAGACACACACACACAAACACACAGAGAGACACAGACATACCTGCCCTGGTCAGTGTACTCCTCATTCCTTCTGTTCTGTGACCGGTGACGCAACACTGACATTTCCGCACTGTTGGATGAATAAAGGATCTCCTCATGTTGAAAACAAATATATTAATTGAAATACTTCTCTTGTCTCAGTTGTATCTTCGTGTGGCGTCTTCCTCCGGAACTCACCATCAGAATGAGGCAGCGGCAGTCGGAGCTCCGCCCTCCAAATTCCATCTCCCAGAGTGCACTGGGGCTGGTGGACACTATAAGGTAAAACCATTAGCATCGCAGTAAATGTATTTATAATGTTTTGTTGTTTACAGTTGTTTGTTCCATAGTGAAGTTCCTCAGGACGTGGTGACGCTCTCGTCCGACAGCGACCACGACGAGGAGGAGGAGCCAAACACAGGAAGTCCCTCCTGCACAGGTCTGTGGGATTGTGGGTAATGGTGTGCTGTTCTCAGAGCAGTTTGATGAAGTTTTTTTGTGTTTGACAGAAGTGAAAGGTGCAGACGACAGAGAGGTGAGTGAAGGCGCACGCACACGCACACAGTTAGATACTTTATTGATCCCGTAGAAGAAATTCAGGAGTCCAGTAGCAATAAAAACACAACCATCCACATAAACAAAACAAATGAATTCATTACTATAAAAAGCCGACAATAGTAATAATATGCAACAGCACTTTAGGTCTCAATAGCACAGATGGAGTAACCTTTGAATGGAGCAGGACGGGTCACAGCAGCAGAGGTGGAATAGCCGCTAGGCAAGGCAAGTTTATTTGTATAGCACAATTTATACACAAAGCAATGTTTAGCTGAAGGAAGTTGCTTTGCATTAACAAAAGTTGCTTAAAAGTGTTATGAAATCTCACACATGTAAACTGTTGGTAGACAACTTTTTCAAAGAAAATACATTTGAGAGATGGGACGATAGTTTTTAAGTACCATGCCATCCAGACTGCTCTTTTTTAGAAGGGGCCTGATGACTGCAGTTTTCAGGGCCTTTGGGAATGTTCCACAATGAAGATCTCTTTGAGGATCTCGTAATCAGCCTTCCGCTCTGCCCTCCGGCACTCTCTTTTGTGTACACTCGAGGTTTTAACATTCACAGGAGGGATGGTATCCAGACCATTCTGAACGCTAGAGGTGACAGAGTTAAACAGTTCATCTACAGTAGAACACGATGCATTCTCAAAATGTATCATTCCCATGAACTGTTCACCCGTGTTTTCATAGAGTTGCAGATTCAGCTGGAGGTTTGCGAGTGAAACAAAAGTTAAAAAAATACACAAATTATCTGACAGAGCAACATCAACCACGTTTACATTTAAAAAATTCACCCCCTTAGTTAAGGTGATAGTCTGGAACTCTAAATGAATTACAAATTTTAAGAATTGTATTAAATTGACCTCTTGGCCTTAAATGTTGATATGAAATTATTCATTTTATGAGTTATAATATTACAGGTAGGTCCCACTTCAACCAATCAAGTGATGTCAAGGGCTGTCAATCGTCGCGCTCATTCTCGTATATAATTCAAGTATTAAATATATATATATTCTGACGAATATTAATTCGTCATGAGCTTAATATTCGAAGCTGTAATGGGCATTATTTGAAATGATGTTTATGAAATAGTTAGTTCCCAAAGGTTTCGCCCTGACGTGGCGAGACCATAGACAGTGGGTTAGACAGGTAACAGCTAGGCTAGCTAACTAACTAGAACTCTTGGAACTTGATGAAAACTGAACAAAGAATTCTGAACATCAGTGGTAAGAGACCCAAATATAAATTTAACCTAAATCCATAATCAGATCCTCTGCAAATGTGTCCTAATATGTTCTACTAATGTTCATGGTTAGTTACTTCCAGGTTTAACCCCGATCGCTTTTTGACTCATTAAAACAGTATTTTTGTCATGAAAACGTGAACGGATAATTCTGAAAACCTTCATGCATGTGTCTTATAAATGTATATGTATTATGTATTCTCCGATTAACATTTAAATGTGTTAATTGATTGATAATCGTATTATTGAGCGTGGCTAGCCTCGATAGCTTCTCTGCACAGACAGAAGTAATAAGTGACAAGCGCTGAAAGCCCGTTGTGACGAAGTGTGCAAACTACTGTCCAGAGTAATCTAAGTATTTTACACACCTAAAGTACAAGTACAGAGTGTGTTGCCAAAAGGCAGCGGCAGAGTCCGTTATCAAGAAATAATGATCGGTAGAACGTAATTAAATTACATTAAAATCAATGGAGCGTTCTACTGCTGCTGTGAGGAATTGTATAACAAAATATGATTAAATATTCAAATGTTTAAGTAAATAATCTCTCCTCCGCACGCCTTGGACTTGGTGCATGCACGGAAAAGTAGGCGCGGCTTAAAGACCAATCAGAAAGGAAGGGGGAGGGAGCTTGGGTTGTTTTTATCAAATCATGTACCTCTCACTCTTTTTTTCTGACGAACTCCAGACAATCACTTTAAATAACAGGTCTAGAGTGTGCCCTCTGCTGTGGGAGGGGCCACTCGTGTGCTGAGTGAGACCAAAGGTTTCAAGTACTAAACTTTTGCATGTCGGTCATTGACATTTTCCACATGAATATTAAAATCAACTGTAATAACTAAACTATCAAAATCTGTGCGTCTGTGAAAGCAACTCAGTTTCATTGGAGATTAAGTTCTATTTTCAAAGACACATTTTCACATGATAAAAACTTCCCTATGCCACCCCCTTTTTTTTCTTCCTGTTTTTCAATTTCAAATTTTGAATTGAAGCTTCTATTAAAACAGCATTTCCTGTATTTTGATCAAGCCATGTTTCAGCTATAAACATATTATCAAGATATCTTTTGTCCATAAAGAAAAGACAGATAAAAAATCGACATCTTGCCTTCATCATCTTACTCAAAAATAACTTTAAATTAACATTTGTAAAAGCCTTGTGACAAGGAATTTGCACGGTGAATTAATTCACAGAAACCATGAGGACAAACACATGTGATTTTTGTTGCTCTACATCAGTTCTCTGGCTCGTACTGTCCTCTACACTTCTCCATAGACTACACAGGGACAGCCTCAGCAGCCGTGTCCCTGTGTGCTCGGCCGGTGTATACACAGCCGGGCAATGTTACACGCATATGCTATTTGCTGCACGTCAACGCTTACGTGCTGTGAACGGCAATTGTAAAGCGCTTTGTGACTCTGGTCTGTGAAAGGCACTATTTAAATAAAGATTACCAACACTCACACTTACTTACTGTGGAAATTCCCTGCCCTTTTAGATGCTTTTGTCTGGTCCTCTCTATTACCTTTCTGTCTGAAAAGCTGATTTGAAGCTGTAACAGAGGCTAGAATCACATGCAGATGAAAGAAGCAACTGTTTTAGAGGCAGGAACTAAAGACTTTATTTTTATTGTACATAATATATCTTGAAAAGACTTTTTTTTGCCTTTAGGATGTTTGCACATTTCTTTCTTTTGTACAAACCTTGAGTGATTCTATCCATGCCAAATGTGACGTGTAAATTTCTTCGGTGTGAGATCAATAAAGTCTTATCTTATCTTAAGAGTATGTTTGTGGTCTGAAAGTTAGGTCCCCCAGCTTTAAGGAGAAAGGACCTCTAATCTATTAACTTTAAAAGATTTGTTATGATTCTTCTATGTTTTAGTAACTGTGCTGCATGTGCTCTTCTCAGATTACCACAGAGCGACCGGTTCGCAAACGCTGGTCCAGACAAGATCCTTTAGACAGAGCCTTGATGGTCCACTCCATGTTCGACCTCAGAGACCTGGACTCACTGCAGCCGGAGCCACAGGAGTCACAAGTACTGTATACTGTTACTAATGCTGGAACTGGTACTGCTACTACTGCTACAAATAAAGTTATTGCTACTGCTGTAACTGCTACTGGTACTACTGGCAATAATGCTGCCAGGACTTACTACTATTACTATTCCCTTCAAAATGACTACTGCTTTGACTACTACTACTACTACTACTACTACTGCTACTGCTTCTACTCCTACTACTGCTACTAAGGTGATGCTGGACCTCAGCATAAACTCACAAACACAGCTGCTACTAAACAGCAAAGTACAAAGATGTTTCAAACTGTAAATCATGCAAAAATATTATGGGACCAAAACTCAAAGCCAAAGGGAATTTTTGGAGGGCACCTTAATATTAGAAGTGTAGTGCAAAAAACGGAACAAATTCAGCAGCTATTATCAGACTCTAACTTGGACTACCTCGGCCTATCTGAGACTTTGTTAACACCAACAACACCCTTTGCCCTGATTCATGTCCCGGGGTACAAGATCTACAGAAAGGACAGGTCAAGTGGGAGAGGGGGAGGTGTCATGATATATGTAAGAGAAAACATTAAAAGTGAACAAATAAACATCCCAGTTGATAATATTGAGTGTGTGGGAATCAAAATCACACTGTCCCCAGAAATGTCATTTCAGGTGATTGTGGTGTACAGACCACCCACAGCCAAGGACACCTTTTTCAGTTCATTCTCAGACATTCTGAAACAACAAGACAATGCCAAAGAATTTATTGTTATGGGGGACTTTAATCTGGACTGGTTAAATAAGCCACGCAGAAAGAAACTTAAGGACATTACAAATGGACTACACTTGACACAAGTGATAAGCAATCCTACAAGAATAACGCCCTCCTGTCAAACCCTACTGGATTTGGTCTTCACTAATAAACCAGATGGCATTAAAAAAAGTTACAACTTACTCACAGGTTTATCAGACCATAACATCACACTGATATCCCGGAAGCTGTCAAAATATAGACATAACAATCAACATGGTACTCAACAATTCTCGCCCCATATCCCCAAAAAAGACCAACCCCTGCTCGACAATGACCTAAAAAATGTCTCATGGACTGACGTCAATTGGATTAATGCAGACCATGCTTGTGATGGTCTAATCACAAAAATCAAACACATTATCAGCAAGTACACTATAACACAACCCAGAAAGAGAGGAGCTAAGATAAAAATACCTTGGATCACTGAAACAATTTGGAATATAATGAAAAAAAGGGATTCAGCCCTCAAAAGAGCCACTAAATCCAAATTAAATACAGATCGAATGATTTTTAAAAGTTTGCGAAATAAAGTCACCATGCTACTCCGGAAGGCCAGGGCTGACTTTCACCTAGAAATGATCAAAGCAGCTAAAGGGAACATGACACAGTTGTGGAAAAGCATAGACAAACTCACTGGAAGAGGGAAAACAAAGAATGACACCATATCATTAGATATTAATGGTATTACTGTTACTGACAGTCTAGACATTAGTATCTTTTTTGTAACTATTTCATCCAGTCTGTGCAAACCCTTAATAAGAACTTTCCACAAAATCAGTACAACGAATTGGAATTTAGCCATGATGGACTCAGTTTAGAAGTAACGAATGAAACAAAAGTTAACAAAATACTCTCAACATTATCAAGCTCTAGGTCTAAGGACATACATGGTATTGACACTTTACTCATAAAAAGATACCCTCACTGCTCCAATAACAAGACTGATAAATCAATCTATAACTGAAAACACATTCCCTGTCACACTTAAAACAGCCACTATCATTCCAATACACAAAGGAGGAAATAAACAAGACGCCAACAATTACAGACCAATTAGTATCCTTCCCGTTATATCAAAAGCAATAGAAAAGGTAGTAGTTGAACAGCTCACACTGTTACATCCTATGCAGTTTGGTTTCCGAGCAAGGCACTCGACCGAAACAGCATGCTGCCTTCTCATTGAAACATTAAAACGAAAGCTTGATAATGGAGGAGTAGTAGGAGCAATATTCTTAGACCTTCGCAAAGCATTTGACACCGTTAGTCACCCCACGTTGCTTACAAAATTAACCAAATTTAAACTGTCTGTTAATACTCTGGCCTGGATTAAGTCTTACCTATCTGGCCGGAGTCAATGTGTCCAAATCAGTAACACCACATCCAACATCAGTGCTACTGATATTGGGGTACCACAAGGCTCCAACATCGGCCCTCTTCTCTTCTCACTGTATATAAATGACCTGCCATCTGTATGTGAGGATGTCAAAATCCAGATGTATGCAGATGATACGGTCATCTATACATGGGGAAGGGACGCTCAAACAGTAGCCAATAAACTGACTGTAGCAATGGAGAAGGTTGCAATATGGCTACATGAATCCTGTCTCACATTAAACATCAGTAAAACAGAAACAATATACTTTGTAAATAAAAACAAAACAACCGTGTTTCCAAACATAACCATAAAAGGGGAGGTGGTAAAAAATGTTAATGAATATCGTTACCTGGGTGTCATTTTAGATCCCACCCTCAGCTTCAAAAAACATATCAAACAGATGAGCCTTAGCCTCAAATACACCATAAAAACTTTCAAATGTATCAGGAACTCACTAACACTGGAGGGAGCCCAAACTTATTTTAATGCAATGATCATGTCTCGTTTTTATTGTATAACCTGTTGGTCCCAGGCAAATAAAACCACTCTGAGGTCATTGGAAACTCTGCACAAACAGTCACTTAAAGGACAACTCACCCTCAAATCCACTTTTTTTTGCTGATAAACGGTATAAATGAGTGTCCAATAGTGTTGTCTACATATCCTGGTCATAATCTTGTCACTTTGGTGCAAATTAGTTGAAAGTTAGACTTTCTGCCTAAAACCGTCTGTGAGGCGCCATCTGCTGGCGACCTGTATTACTACATTTGAATTTTGAATCTGGCGCCAACACTGGCACAGAAGTTGGACCTGACGTCTGCAAGTTGGACCTGACGTCAGCAGCCCCCCGCCCAGAGCAATGTAAACGGCCCAGTGTCGTTCACGCCCCCTTTAGTCCTCCAGGCTACGCCCATTTAGAGGAAGATTTGAACAGGAAATGTGAGTAACGTAAGCTCCGAGGAGCGGGGGTGAGAACCACTTTTAAGATCCTCGACCGGAAACCACGACATCACCATCACTGTTTAGTTCTACAAAAATACAGACTTTTAAATTTAGACAATATTCAAAGATATGCATCCATACGATTGGCTCACAGAATACTAAACAACACCGCACCAGCTCCACTCAAACACTTTGTTCAGTTAACATCTTCTGCGACAACTATAACCACACGAGCCTCCACCAGGGGGCAGTGCAGCATACCTAGGTGTAAAACCGCTTTTGCCCAATCAGCATTTTCATATAAAGCAATAAAGGAATGGAACGAGCTCACTACAGACCTGAAGAGTCAATCAGACTATCCTACATTTACAGTAGAACTTAAAAAATGGTTATGGAGCAATCAAAGCTGCTCACACGAACCCTGAGGTGTGTGACCAGGAAGACTGATGTGTGTGAACTTTGTATGATTAGAAATTGATGTATATGATCTCTGTATGATTAGAAACTGATGTATGTGATTTATGTATGATGAGAAATGTACTGAATGTGTTAATGTATCATCTGAATGTGTGGTTGTGACATGTGTATTGTGTAGGTGTGATGCTGTGAATGAAGTGTGGTTTTAACAAACAGGTATGAGGCTAAATGTGTGTGTCTGTATTAGAGAGAATGTGTTGTATTGCAAAGTTATTTTTTAGGATTGTACATTACTGTATCCATGCATTTTATTGATGTAACCAGGGACTGCAGATAGAAATTAGCTGTTAAGCTATAATCTGGTGCAGAACATATCTGTTTTTGAGCTTAATGTCTCTGTACACTGTCCCTTCAAATAAAGACTAAACTAACTAACTAAACTAAGGTTACTGGTACAACTCTTGATACTGCTACTTCTACTGGTACTACTTACAACTACTGCTACTAATGCTGCTGCGACTAGTGGCACTCCTACTACTGTGACTACTGTGACTATTGCTTCTATTGATACTGCTGCTACTTCAATCCAGAGACATACGATCATGTGCTTGTACTTTTCCAATACTACATGTATAGACCTGTGGAGGAGGTTCTGTCTGAAACATATTTATATTTCTCAGGTGAATCCCCACCCCTCAGAGAATAATCCTGCCCCTCAGAACACACAGAGTACCGTCGGACAATCACAGCCTGTGTCTGGACTGACACGAGCCGATCAGGAGCTGGGCAGCACCTTGAGCCTGCAGGTGGACCCCACAACCAATCACAGACCAGACTTCATCCTGCTGACCAATCAGGGCTCAGAGAGAGATCTCCCTGTGCTGTATCCTGACCAATGGGACGACAGAGTCAGTCTGGCCGGAAAGTAAGTCCTCCGTCAACTCCAGAATAGGATCATAGAGGCCAGGATCATAGAGGCCAGGATCATAGAGGCCAGGATCATAGAGGCCAGGATCATAGAGGCCAGGATCATAGAGGCCAGGATCATGGAGGCCAGGATCATAGAGGCCAGAGGCCAGGATCATGGAGGCCAGGATCATGGAGGCCAGGATCATGGAGGCCAGGATCATGGAGGCCAGGATCATGGAGGCCAGGATCATGGAGGCCAGGATCATGGAGGCCAGGATCATGGAGGCCAGGATCATGGAGGCCAGGATCATGGAGGCCAGGGACGTAGTATCCCACTCTGCTGCTGGGTCCGGTTGTCACTTTTTGTGGTTTATGGTTATGGTTCTTTTAAATCCTGTTGAAATCAATCAATCAATACTTTATTATCTCACAGATGGAGAAATTCAGTTCGATGAATAAACATCAAGTGTTGTTCCTCAGTGAGTTCCAGGTGCAGGAGGCAGGGGCCGCTCAGGACAAACCCTCCCCAGACAGTGGCTGCTCTGTAGGCTTCAGCCGCAGGTCGAGCCCAGAGAGACCGAGCGTTGACGGTGAGTTAGGAGACGATTTAATTTACCATATATTAAAAACACATCAATGTGTTAGTCTCCAGTGTGAACCAGCCTAAAAAGCTAAAAAGTACAATAAACGATCATCTCTGTGAAACCAATCAACACAAACAGCTTCAATAACAAGTTCATTAAAGTGCTTTTTCAATCTGATGAACCAAATTCTCATCATGCGTCTCTGGTCCAGACTCTGGGAGACTAAGCGGAAACTCGTCAGATCTGGAAGAGGAAGAGGAGGGGCCTCCTACAGGAATGGGCGGTACTACAACAGGAAGGGGAGGGGCTGTTACCGTTCTTCAGACCCCTGACCATGAAGCGTTTCTGAAGGAGCATTTTGGAACGTTAGCCGAAGCCAAAGGTCCGAGTCTCTGAGTCGTGGTCTCTGAGTCGCGGGGTCCCGGTCCCTGGGTCCCAGTCTCTGGGTCCTGAACTAAACCTGGTCTTGTTTGCAGGCAGTCCAAGCAGAACCTCTCACAGTTCCTCAGAAAGCCTCAGTATCTCATCCAGGTTCCTTTCTCACTCCAGTCACAGGTAAATACTACTACTATTACTTACTTACTTACTACTACACTAGCCACAGCTGCCCTGGGATAGACTGTCAAAACCGCGGCTGGCTCCTGTGATCTCCAGTAATTCACTCTTATTCTGACTCACACTGGGACTTTCTCTTTTCAGTCGCTCCTCGGTTCCACTGGCGTCTCGTTCTGATGGAAAGACCCCTCTGGTCTCTGAGGTCCGTCCCCTGAGGGAGACCCAAGGTCTGGTTCTGAACCAGACCCCGGAACCCAAACCGGACCAAGAACAGAGTCTGGAAAAAGGTCTGGATCCTGGACTAGACCAGACCACAACCTCTGACAATGAAAAGACTCGGCTGATCTCTGAGGTCCTCGCTTTGAGGGATCTGGACCCGTACTCCAAGGTCCCAGCGCTGGAGGCGGCTCCCCCTAGAGCTGCTCTGTTTAAGAAGAAGCCAGTGGACAGCAGAAAGAGCCATGGGTACCAAATACAGGGTCTGAACCAGAGCCAGGGTTTACGGAAATCCCAGTCTGTGACCAGCCTCCTACAGGACAGCTGTGAGTACTGCACTCAGACTGGAGTGTGACGTCACCAGTGTTGGCCTCAATGTGGAAGAAGCTTATTTGAACTTAACCTGAAGCCAATTTTCTTATGGGCATTTGATTTGTGGCGTTGGCTTCACGAAAGATCTCAGCTCCTGTGGACTCACCACCTGCAGGAGGATCAGTGAGGGGCTGGTGCTATGTGTACTGGGTGCAGCTCTGACTGCCACCCCCCCGACCCAGAAATGGATTAAGGGGAAGAAAATGGATGGAAAAATGGATGGATGGCTTCACGCCATAACAGGGGCAGATGTATGTGTTGCAAAGGTGTTTGTTAAGGCGTTTTCTAAGGCAAGCTGGAGGTTCTCCCGCGAACGAAAGTCTCTGATTGGCTCATATCAGGATTTACAAAAACAATATAACAATATAAACACCAGGATCACAGAGAGCCCTAACTGTAAATGTCCATCTGTAAAGATTTTATTATTATATATCACTATATAAATATAGTGTGAACGATTTACCCAGAGTTGTATCTAAACCCTGTTGTGTGTGTCCTCAGCCGACCCCACCCCCTCGCCACCCCCCCTGGTGCGCCCTTCCACGCTGCCCTCCACCCCTCGCCGCCCGCTGCTCGACTCGTTGCCGCGGAAACACTCATACATGAGCGCCACAGCAAGCTCCCGCGCCAAAGTGTCGCGCTCAGTCTCCATCGGCGACGGCCTCAATGACCCAGACCTGTCGCCGCCCAGCCCCCGCCCTGTGGCGCAGGTCACCGCGGTGACAGCTACTCCTGTGCTCCTAGCCCCACCCCTGGCCCCGCCTCTCCTAACCCAGCCCCTCTCAGCCGGGGGGAGGAGCCTCCAGAGCCGCCTTCACAACAAACCACTACCTGACAAACCTTCGCTCGCTGCTTTCTCTGCTGCCCCCATGAGCAGGTCCAGCCACGCCCCCTCTGACCATGACCCCCCCACAGACCCTGCCCCCTGTGAGAATAGAGCTCCAGTATGTAACATTCCCTCACAGATTGACCCAGTGTCCAGTACAGCTGCTGGTTCTCCTGATACGGACACTGCTTTAACCCCGCCCCCATCTATAGCACCGCCCCCTGAACAAACTCTGCTGCCAGCTTTAGCTCCTCCCTCCTCCCCTTCCCCACAGACAACCCCCAACAGACCAGAGTCCTGCAGTAGTGACCAGATCCTCACTGAACCAGGTCAGAGCTGAACTTTTCTGTAGATTTGATTATGAATTCATTTATTTGAAAGTCTGTTTTCTGCTTCTCAGAAGAGGTGGATCTGAGCGTGGAGGCGTGTCGGGCCCTGACCAATGAGCTGCAGAGCTGCTTCAGCCGAGCCACACACCTCTACAGAAAGGTAATGTCTCAAAGTGCAGATTTCTCTTTCTCTCTTCATAATGGCACAGACAACAATCACAAATCAGGGCAAAAAAGTCAAATAGAAAGAATAGATTTATGGATTATGAACCGTAATAATCCATACTCTTGTCTGTTCATGTGACTAAAGGCCAAACCCTAACATAGACTGTATACAGATGAACAATGCTAACCCGCTAGCTCAATGAAGCCCAGTAGGGCTCCAACTCGATCTGGCTGCTCTTGACTTCCATGTGAAGAAAATGGCTTTGTGCCTTTAATACTGACAGAAGACATGTTGTATCATTGGTGGTAGACGGCATGAAAAAAGATGTTACAGAATGCATGTGATATTATACAGCAGGGGTCAGGAACCTTTTTGACTATGAGAGCCATGAAAGCAAAAAATTTGGAAATTTATTTCAGTGAGAGCCATATAATATATTTTGAAAGTGAATTCAACTAAATGTCAGTATAATAAGCCTCTGAATTTATTATTTTAAATAATGTTGTTATAACACTCACCATTAATGCGACTTCTGGTGCTGCATGGATTTGCTGATGTCTTTGTAGTCGGGTTGGTACTTGGTGAGGTTAAGCTTCATGCAAGCGTTGAGGCTTTCATCCGTTAAACGTGATCGTAGGTTGGACTTGATGTTTTTAGGATGTGAGAATGACTGCTCACATGCATACGTAGATCCAAACATGGTCAATACAGCAATACTCACACGCTGCAGTGTGTGGTATGTGACAGGAAGCGCGTTCCAAGTTTTGAGAATCAGCTGGTCTTCGGGTTGGAGTTTTTTCATATCTGCCCACATGTGCTTGCTCGCCAACTCCGCTTTCTGTCGTGTGATTCTTTCCAAATCTTCATTCAGTGACTTGAACTTATTCACCCACATGTCTGAGGCCTTCAGGTCAGCCACTTCTGCTTCAAAATCTCTGACGGAGACACCAGGGATGTAATTCAGGTCAGCTGTGTTCAGTGAACACTCGTTTGGATGGGTGATGAACTTAAAAAGACGAGTGTGCTCACAAAATTCTCCAAAGCGTGCTTTGAAGGACTGTAGGAGACTGGATGTGCAGCCAGCTAGCTGGTGGAGATCAAGGTTTTGAATGGGCTCACTTGCTGTGCATGCATCTTTACTACATTTTGAAAAACTGAGCCAATTTAAACGACCTGTTTCAAGATCCGTGATGAAAAGCTCCAGCTTGTTTTCAAAAGCAAATACAGCTTGTTGAAGGGATAACACTGTATTTCCAATGCCTTGCATTTTCACGTTGAGCTGGTTCAGATGTTCAGTCAGATCTACGAGATAGTAAAACTTGAGGAGCCATTCGGTGTCGGCTAGCTCAGGATGCTCGACGCCTTTCATTTCAAGGAAAGTCCGGATTTCGTTCAGGCAAGCTGCAAAACGGCTAAGCACCTTCCCTCTTGACAACCAACGCACATTGCTGTGCAAAAGCAGACCAGGATAGTTATTTCCAACTTCATCTAGCAGTGTTTTAAACTGGCAATCATTTAAGGCTCGGGCAACAATAAAGTTGGTCACACAAATGACCAGCGACATCACTTCGCCAAACTGCCTGTCACACATCTGAGCACAAAGGGCCTCCTGGTGTATAATGCAATGGAAACTTAGGATGGGTCTATTTTCATGTTCACGGAGAAGCGCCACAAATCCTTGTTTTTTCCCACCATACACGGAGCACCATCAGTACACACTGAGAAAAGTTTATCCATAGGTAGACTTTTTTCTTGAGCAAACTCCATGAAAGACTTGAATAAATCCTCACCTCTTGTGGACCCTTTTAATGGCAGAACAGCAAGACTTTCTTCGCGCAGTGTGTCACCAACAGCATATCTTGCAATCACGCTGAACTGCGACAAATGGCTCACGTCTGTTGACTCATCCAAAGCCAGAGAAAAGAACGGCGCTGCATTTTTGTCCTTTACTTGCGTTTCCTCCACTTTGTTTGCCATCACGATGGTACGATCATGAACAGTTTCTTTCCGACAGAGGCATGTCTTGTATCCGTTTGATTATCTTGTCTTTGTTTGGAAGATCATCAAAAAGTTCATTGGCTACATCCAGCAGGAACGTTTTAGCATACTCGCCATCTGTGAATGGTTTTCCGTTCCTCACTATTGCTAAAGAACCAGCAAAGCTAGCCGAATTATAGTCACCTTGCCGGGTCCATACGCAGAGTTGCTGCTGGCTAGCTTGCACCCTGCTCAGAAGCTCTTGGCACGCTTTCTTTCTGCTGTCTCCCGCAGGGTATTTTGATGCAAAGGTAGCGTGGCGCGTGTCGAAGTGCCGCTTTACATTCGACCGTTTCAACGATGTAATTTTGTCATTGCAAATTAGACACACCGCAGAACCCGCTCTCTCCACAAAGGCGAATTCTTCGGTCCATTCATCCTGAAATGTACAATACTCGTCGTCTTTTTTTCTTTTCGCCATCTTCTTCGTCGCAAACGCTGTCTCAAGACTGATTCAAAAGGGGGCGTTTACCTGTTTTACCCAGCAACGGCAAAGGTAGGCCAGTATCATCCAATTAAAATAATGGAAAATTGCTCCTGCAGCCCTGAACAGGACATGCACAGTGAAAAATCGATGGATGATTAAAACAAGTGAAAATATTTTGTTTTATCTGCGAGCCATATGCAATCATCAAAAGAGCCACATCTGGCTCGCGAGCCATAGGTCCCTGACCCTTGTTATACAGCAAGGAGGAATGGAGACCTCCAATCAGTATTTTCCATGGTGACTGTAGCTCGGCCTTCAGAAAACCAGTAGTGGAAAAATACTACCTTGTGCATATTGTTAGAATGATGAGTTTAACTTTAACCATAGTTGCTTCAAAGTATCATGAAACATCTAAATAAAAATAGAATATTAAACGCCAACACAAACGTTTTTGTTCCAGATTCATCTCTAATTTGCAGCGTGTCTCCAGTTTAAACTTTCACAATAAAAGTCTCTTCGTTCTGTTCCAGCTGAGTGTGGCGGCGGCTGAATTCCCCGCCCCCGAGAGCAGTCACATGATCTCCATCCTATCAGAGTGCTTCCAGGGCCTGAGGGCGGAGCTGGATGGGCTGCCACTGGGTGTGTCTACAGAAGAGGGCGGAGTCAGCGCAGACACAGGGAGGACGGCGGCCATTTTGGAAGAATACTCACTGCTCTTGGTACAAGCGGTGACCAAACGCCTCCAGAGCCCCACCAGTGTTTGAAGAACTGCAACTACTGCGACGACTACTACTACTTATACATAATCAGGACTGACAAATACAACTAAACATAGTACTATGAGTTCTTCCAAATACACAGGTACTGCGACAGGTACTGCGACTACTACTGCTACTGTGACTACCATTACTACTACTACTGGTCTAACTGCTGCTATCAGACCAGTGCTCAAGGGCCCTATAAAACACCTGAGTGGAACTAAACATGTTGAATTTCTCTAACAAATTGAGAGAAACTTCCGGTCTCCTCATGAGAACTTTCACAACAAAATGAGGAAAACCAGGAAGTGGAGGATATTAACTCCAGACAGAACCGAAGCAATAGGAAAACGTTTCAAATTTTATGCTACAACTTTCAGAATTGAAGCCTGAGCAAGAAGACGGCAGACATCTTGGAACTCATGTTTGGCAGCCATCTTGGAAAGGTGACCAGATGTCCGTAGTGTTTTACATGACGTGTAGAGCCTGCTTCCCATTGCATTTTTATATAGCCATTAATTTTGTATATATATTTTTTTGCAATTAGTCATAAAAGAAAATGAAATGTATTATGGATCAGATTTCCCATCGGGCTGCAACGTTTTTAAATTATTGCTGTTTATTATTTCTAGAACCATTTTAAACTTGTGGACATATGATCACCTTGCACTTTGGGGACAGCCCGAACAAAGCTAATGGCGACCTAACCGCAATCTAACAGTCAACGTATGAGCAAAGAAACCGGATTTTAAACCATCACAACCTGAACTGAACTTCTGCGGTTTCTGAATGTCTGAAATGTTGCATGTGTAAACACTTTTTACATTTTAATCTTTTGCATTTTAGTCTTCAGTCCTACTCTGGACCTGGTTTAGACCTTGTTCCTTCTTGATCCTCCAGAAGTCTGTTTCTCCGAGACACTTTTCCAGATGTAAAATTTGTGAATGAGCGGAGCGTATTTATTATTGGTTGATTTGAGTCACGTTTGTTTTTTTAAATGTTATTTTTTACTAAACGAATTAAAACTTGTTCAGAAAAACTTTCTAACTCACAGGTCACTGTTTTAAATAAAGTCTTTCAAACTGAAATGTTTCTTGTTCAACACCTTTTTATGAACAATGACAAGATAAGATGTGCTTTATTTATCTCACATAGGAGAAATTTACATAATATGAACATAACTAATTGATTTAACTTATTGGGTTCAATGTTCACTTGAAAATTAAGTTCATCAAAGTCCATCCTGTGAACATTGGACTAACTCCCAGAAGACGGACAAGTTCAATCTGACAAATCTTTATTCACACATGGACACGACAGCCATAACAAACTGAAACCCAAGTCCAGGATGAGTCTCCTAGTGATTCGAGTACATTTGACCCTCAGTGTGATCTCTGGTCTCACACGTCTCCCCCAGCCACATGAACGTGGTCAACATCCTCAAATTGTGTTTTTGTCGTCATGGTGATGCCGCTGAGCTGGTCAATCAGCTGGTAGTAGTTGTATTTGAGGTCAAACTCCATGTCGTACCAGAAGTTCACTGGAACCAGAGCAGAGAGGACATAAAACTATATATCTATGGTTCCAGTTTCAATCAAGGTTTTAAGAAACTGCTCATCTTTCTCTCCCCTCTTTCCCTCCACTCCTCTCTCTCTCTCTCTCTCTCTCTCCTCCACACTGACCTGCAATAGCTCCATGGCTTTGTCTCACATGATGAAACCAGAGTGAGGGCAGGTACAGCATCTCTCCGGCTCTCACTGTGATCTGCAGAGGCCGCACCGACCGGTACTCTGGGAACCGGGTCAGGTCCGGGTCCACTGGGTCCACAGGGATCCAGGGCACCTGCAACACGAGCGGGGTATGAGAGAAAGAATGCAATAAACAACATGGAGCCATCAGTGTAAGTAAGTAAGTAAAAAAATAAGTTCTTGTAATTTTTACGCAAGAAAAGTGTTGTGATCATGGATAGGTTAAAAGACAGGACCTTGTCATGGAAACGTCCACAGTCAGATGGCAGAATATGAGTAAGTTTGGGTTCTGACCTTGTCTCCTTCCTGGTCGATTATGTCGAAATCTCCGTCAGGACGCTGGTGATACACGGCCGGCTGATACAGACCTGGGACAGAGGGGTTGGGTGTGGTTACCGTAGAAACTGAAGGGGATGGAGGGTGTGGTTGCCGTGGTTACCGTAGGGGATGAAGGGGCGGTCCGTCGGAGGCAGCAGCAGGAAGTGCTTCTCTCCAGACATCACACAGTACACATTTTCATAGTGGTCTTTGTGCACTGAGGAGAGAGGCTACTATTCGTTTGTGTGTTTCTGTGTCTATGTGTGTCTGTGTCTCTGTGTGTGTGTTACACATACTTGAGGTGACAGCGCTCTCTTCTCCAAGCCAGAAGTTCACTGCGTCTGGAGTTTTCCCTGAAACAGAAAACAGTGAATGAGGTTTATGTTTGTGTTTGTTTTAATCTGCTCCGACCGAGACGCTCAGAGGAGTGTTTACTTTTGAATGCTTTTTGAAAAACTGTTTTTTTTGTTGTTGTTGTAATTGTTGTTTTTTCTACCTGAGATGTTGCTGCAGTACAGTGTTTATGGTTTTGCACTGGTTTAGATCAGCGCAGAGAGGATTCATGGTCTGAGCCATGCGGATCAGGTGAAAATCCACTGAAGGAAGGCTGACTTTTTGAAAAATACTAACAAAGAATTTAGCATTTTAGTTTTGACAAGAGCAAAGAAAAAGGTCCAAACCAAGAGACTACTCCATCTCTGCTGCTGTGACCTAAAGTGCTGTTGCATTTTAATACTAATTTTAGCTATTTTTACAATTTGCCATTTATTTGTTTTGTTTGTATGGATGGATGTGTTTCTGCTGCTACTGCACACCTGAATTGCTCCTACGGGGATCAATAAAGTATCTATATCTATCAATCTACACAGATGTGGAGGAGAAGCACACATGTGTCTGAGCTCAGATCGTACCGAGGGCAGTGCTCATCCAGGGTATGTGTGGCTCCAGGTCAGAGGTCAACTCAGGCAGCTCCTGCAGCAGGTTAGAACACTGTTTCTGTACGTAGAAGACTCCACGACCCCCGGGTTTCTGCTCCTGAGCAACAGAGAATGCACTGGATATAAACACAGGAACATGGACTGTCGCCCTCTGGTCGAAAGCACTGTCCACAGCAGAGATATGTGTGTTCTAAACTGATTCAGGCAACTTCTAAAACTGTTGTGTCCATGACGTCATAGTGTAACATGTTAGTAAGGGCCATGCAGCAGAAAGTGGACAGAGCTACAGCCTCAGGTCAGTTTGTGTGAGTAGAACCCTGACCTTCCCTTGGATCAGGTCTAGAACGTCCCGCAACTTCATGTGTCGTTCCTCTGGCATCACAAACCGATCTCCGTTCACTGCATCTGCAAAACCATCTGGAGTCACAGCCACAGACACTGTCTTCTCTCCCACTGTCTGTCTGTGGGAGAGAGAGGGGGAGAGAGAGACTGAGCCACAGACAGTAGCAGTGGACAGTGCTGACACAGTGTTAATGGGAAAGAGGCTGATCAGAGCCAACTCCAACAGCTGTTTGGTTGCTAGCTTTTGCCAATACAGTATTTAGCTCCACATCAGACAGCCAATCAGGAGCGCCCCTGGTCTGTCCTTGCTTGCGCAACTCGACAGAATGCTCCTGATTGTTCAGTTGTTCAGGCTAATGTCAAAGACAATTTCACAATTTAAACACAGGATGACAGAGAAACAAAAAAAACACAGAATTAAGACCAAAATGGTCTGTGTGATACAAACTGTTACTGAACAAGAAGAGTTTACTTTTACATGGAAGTCAATAGAAGCGCATGGCGCCGTAAAGATGGCGCCATGGCAAGAGCTCCGGTGTGTGCCGTCTGGTGCACACTGGGGTAGTCTTGCACAGTTTTTCCAATGTGGTTTTACTGCAAATGGCAAATAAATGAATCTGAATCTGAATCCAGAAAGATGGAGCTAAACTTCGTCCATGAGCACTTCCCTCTTGGATTTCATTGAGCTAACATGTTAGAATTGTCGATCTATATATAGTCTATGGTCACAACACAAGACCTGAGGTAGTCCAGGTCCCAGAGTCCGGTCCCTCTCCAGTGCATCAGGGCGTTTCTGATCACACACGGTCTGTTGGGGCTGATCCAGGATCTGTAGAAGTCCAGAGGATCAGGAGGACCCTCTAGGACCGGGATAGAGGAGTGCAGGTACAGCTCTGTGAGAGGAGAGGGGAGGGGAGGCCAGGGGAGAGGAGAGGAGAGGAGAGGAGAGGAGTGGAGAGAGAGGGAGACAGCAGTGTGATGACTGAATAAACTGTTCTGATACAGCGGTAACCTGCTTCTCTGTGACGTCTATAAAGAGCTACATTCTGCTCCATTTTTCTAAGTCTGTAAAAACTGATATAATCTGTAATATTTAAAAAGTTTCATCATTTACTTATATATTATATACTATAATATGGACACTGACAGACGGGCTAGTGATGTCACACAGTCACCTATCCCATCACCGACATTACATCATAGACTGTATATATTAATGCTATATCTATGACGTCATTAAACCCTCACCGTGGGCCTCGCGCGCGCACTCCTGCAGTTTCTCCCGCACGTGCTGCATCGGGACGTCACTCATCAGTCACATCTTTGATCCTCACTACTGATACTAAATAAATAAATAAAGGATCAAGAGAGAGGAGCACGCGGCTGTGTTTACATGCACAGAGCATGCGCACACACCTCTTCCTCTGCAGCCTGGAGCGCCTCTGCTGGCGGGAGAAGGTACTGACCCAGATGACTGCACTGTTTCTACTCTACTTACTCTATACTCTTTAAGCTATACTCTATGCTCTACTGTATTCAGAAACAGCATTAGAGTTTATATTTGGGACATTTATCATAGAGTTGTCCTGTAAACATCTTAATCAGTTGTCTCGGAGGAATTTAAGTAGCAGAGAATCCACACAGGAAGGATAAATGTGAGAGAAAGATCCTTAATCCTTCCCACATTGGAGAAATGTCAGTGTTGCATCACCAGTTACAGAACAATAGGAATGAGGAGCACACAGCACAAGAAAACCATAACTCTAAAATAGAAAATAGAAAATTTAAATCCTGCATATATTTACATCTGCACATGTTGAGGCCCACATGTGGTTTCAGAACAATCCTTCATTAGATTTTACATCAGACACAAAACTTCACAGATACATTCCAGCTGGTTCTGAGCTGTGACCTCTGACCCCAGTGTGTGTTTGATACTATACATGTCTCTGAGTATTTGTCATAATCTGTCAGCTTGTTTTTCATCTTTGTTATTCTTCTTCTTCTTCTATTGAGGTTTATTGGCGGTTGGCAAACAACCTTGAGGTGCATTACCGCCACCTTCCGAAATGGAGTGTGTGCCAGGACGGCCCTATATTCATCTTTGTTATTTTTTACTAAATTGTTTAAGAATCTCCACATGAAGCTCTCTGACTGAGGCAGGTGTGGCTGATGAGGCTCGTTATGGACCTGCACACCTGGTCCTACAGCTCTCTGGTCTCAACACAGGTCTCTGGTCTAACTCTCAGGGCCCAGGTCTCTGGTCTCTCTCGGGTCTCTGGTCTCACTCTAGTCTCTCTCTCAAGTCTCTGGTCTCACTCTAGTCTCTCTCTCAAGTCTCTGGTCTCACTCTAGTCTCTCTCTAGTCTCTCTCTCTCAGGTCTCTGGTCTTCCTGTAGAATGGTGTGAACATGGACGAGTCGGCGTTGGAGAGATATTTTGATGACTCGATCGCAAATGTGAGTAAATCAAGATCAAGTCTCAACATCGTCACTTCATATCAAACTGTATACTGTATAATAGACTGTGCTTTGTTTTGAACAGGAAGTGGGATTTGATTTGGGGGAGGGGCTTGACCTGCAGAGTCCTACCCACCTAGGGGAGGGGGCGGGGCCAAAGACTGACGATCTCGACCTAAGCTTTCTCCCAGATGAACTCAGCCAAGGTCAGTCCTGGACCTGGTCCAACATAGATCCATGGTCCGGTGCACGTGTTCAAACTGGGATGTTGTCTTTTTTTTGGGACCAGTGTTCATTGTGCTGACTGACAGCTAATGAACATGTGTATAAAGTGCTCATTGTACAGTCTGACAACTGTGTCTCCGCAGAGGGCCCGTCTCAGTCCTCAGTCCTCGATGTGTCTGGTGACAGTGGAGTCGTCTCAGACTTTGTTTCCCAGGATGCCCCAAGGGAGTTGCCCACAGCGACGCCGGGGCAGGGGCCATCTGTGTTTGGCTCCTCCTCCTTCTGCCCCATGACCCCCATGACCCCCATGACCCCTGTGACGGAGAAGTCTGGCATCATCCCACAGCTACAGTAAGAGATGCTATTTTTTTCTTGTTTGACAAACTGAATGATGTTATACAATTTTGGTTCACTGTAGGCTAAAACATCTTAAAAATCTGTGAGATTTTTCTAAAAACTCTCTGCTGTCTCAGCTACTATAGTTATTTGTGTTTGTGCAGAAACATAGTGTCCACAGTGAACCTGGGCTGTCCTCTGGATCTGAAGTACATTGCCCTGCAGGCGAGGAACGCAGAGTACAACCCCAAGGTACTCACTCACTCACTCGGGTCCAGACGCACACAGCCATGGTCTCACCATGTGTCTCTACTGACAAGAGTATTCATCATTCTGAAACATGACATTAAGTCTAAATATCGGTGGGTGCTGACTTCTGTGTTCAGAGGTTTGCTGCTGTCATCATGAGGATCCGTGAGCCCAGAACCACAGCTCTGATCTTCAGTTCCGGGAAGATGGTCTGCACTGGAGCCAAGAGGTCTGTCTGCTCTACTCCCTTACTACCATCAAACTACCACACACTGAGGTCCACACATCCAGGAGTTTGTATTCATGTGACATCACAACATCCATGGGGCCTGTAGTTCCACTCTGTGATGTCAGTATATCGACTATGGTCTCATTATTTCCTTTCTGGTGTCTCCTCTGGCCTCTCTTCTCTATCTGGTCTAAAAATATTCAAAAACATACACATTGCCAGTGTAAAGGACACCCACACAAAAGAACAAAAGTCCTGGTCCGGCCCTGGTCCAGTTCCCTCTCTCTGCAGTGAGGAACAGTCCCGTCTCGCAGCTCGTAAATATGCTCGTGTGGTGCAGAAGTTGGGGTTTCCCGCTCGGTTCATGGACTTTAAGATCCAGAACATGGTGGCGTCATGTGACGTGTGCTTCCCCATCAGACTGGAGGGCCTGGTTCTGACGCACCAGCAGTTCAGCAGGTACTGATGCTACTGTATTTGGCTGCTGCTGCTTTCTGGTGTTAAAAAGTGTCCGTAAACTTCTTGTCTGCAGTTACGAGCCGGAACTGTTCCCAGGACTGATTTACCGCATGGTGAAGCCGCGCATCGTTCTGCTGATCTTTGTGTCGGGGAAAGTGGTTCTCACAGGTATCTGCCGCTACATCAGTAAAAATCACTGTCTACATTATTGCATATTTTATCCGCAAGCAGGGATGAACACCCTTCACCACACTGTTCCACTCAACCATGGACCCCCAGCTGCCTGTGTGTGTTGCACCCTCTGCTAGTCTTGAAGCGCATCCTGCCCCGTTGTTTTACACGTGTTAAAGATCCTTCTGTCATTATGATGGCATGGCTCCATTGAAACATTCAGAATGTTTTGTAAAATACATTATGAGCCATTTTTGTATTTATTTTTTTATCCCTATTTAGATGTTGAATCTGACAAAGATCTGTGGATACTTAAGACGTCCCACTTCTGTAGATTATGTGCAGAGTTTGAGTTGTAGATTTGGGTCTATTTCTCTTTAACACATGACCGAGCATCTGCCATCACTACGGCAACACAATAAAATAAAGGCTCAAATGGAATTATGTGCAAAAAACGTTTTGTCTCATGGCTTTATACAACTGTCTGTTTTGTTTCAGGAGCAAAGGAGCGAGAGGAGATCTATGAGGCCTTTGAGAACATATACCCCATCCTCCGTGGTTTCAGAAAGCAGTGACTGGGAGAAACATGTATGAAGAATATGACAGATGTTTTATAAAATGTAATTATTTATTTATTGATTTATTTATCTATCCCTCTCTGGATGGAGATCTGGTCAAGAGCATCTTGGTACAGTTTATTATTTACTCAGGGGAAAAATAATAAAACGCACAGCTATTAACATCAACATTTAAAATTCTTAAATTATATAAAATAACCATGTGTGCGTCATTAAAGACATCAGAGGACAGAGTTCTGGGCACAGGCAGCTGCAGAGGATGATTGAGGGCAGCTCTCCTGTGGTTGTGTCCTTGTGGTTGAAGGCAAGATACTTCCCCCACATTAGTCTGTGTGAATAGGTGGTGGCACAGACTGGTTGCCTCGCTTCTGACAGTGTGCCCCAGGGCAGCTGTGGCTACAATAGTTTGTCACCACTGTCTTTGAAATGAAAGAATGGCGTGAGAAGCGTCTTGAGTTTACGACAGAGCATGGTGTAACGCGGTGTTTTTTCGAATTTAAAGTCGAACTATTAGTAGCAATATTACAGGAATGAACTCAAAATATTTTGAGATTATTCTTGAAATATTTTGGACCCTGGGAGGAGATCCAGAGCAGACCCCGGGGAGATGACCTGCAGTGCGGACCCGGGGATAACAGGTCCAGTCCAGCCTCGGGGAGCACTGCGAATTGAAGACGGACTTTAAACCCTTTAAATTCCATATGTGACTGTTTTGAGTAAAAATACATTCTTGCACATTTGCCTTTTTTATTGGTCACACCCCCTCGATGGCCACTTTTAAACCTGTGACACGTTGAAATTATATTGATGATATTGATAAATAACGTGCATTATTTATCATTCTAAGTATATAATTCAGCACTGAACACAAACATTGTCTGAGTGTCGGTCGGCGTTGTACGCGCACATAGTTTATAACAAATAACCACAACACACTGTTACATTGGGTCATCAGATTAAGATTATACAATACAATACAATTTATTCTTGTAAAACCATTGAAATCACCAACACAGATCAGAGACAACAGTTAAAACACATGCAAATGTGTTTAATATAAAAATGGTTTTATATGAAAGTATAAAACCATCTTCAGTGAACTCCAGACGAGGTATCAATTTGTTTAGCTGCTTTGCCATTTTCTCCAATACTGTGACTGTGAATATCTCAAAATATTTCGAGATGAATCTCATAATTTTGCTACTTCGATTGTATTCTTATATTTCGACTATAAAGTCAAAAATATTCTGACTTTTATCTCATAGCGTTTGGTAAAAACAACATAAATAAATAAAAGCGTTGTGACTTGCCTTACTAGAATGTTTTTTTCATCTATTTTTTAAAATGTCTCCTAGCGAGACTTTTGCATATTGGTTTGTATATTGCTAATATATAGTAATATGAATCTAAACCTAAACGTGTGAATCGTAAACAAGTGTCACGTGTGTCAGACCCGGAAGAGGCGGAGTGTTGAGCCTCATCATAACAAACATACACATCAAAGATTTCTGGGAATTCAACTCAAATTCAGACTGTTTTTAAAGTTATTTTCAGCTGTGATCCTAACAGACAGATGCACAGGTCATCAGCAGGTGGTGCAGAACCAGGGTTTTCATGGGCCTGAAGTTGGGCTCATGTCTCCGTGTGTGAGTCAGCGTTAGCATTAGTCGTTAGCATTAGCTCCAGTAGCTCCATGGCGATGTCCCGGGAGCCCCCTGTCTCTGCAGCTGAGGACATAGCCTCACGCCCCGTGGACAGGCCGTCTCTGCCCGGTCCGCTGCGGTGCCTGCTCACTGAGTCGGTGGATGACGCAGAGGGGCTATGTGTCGCCGTGGAGCGTTGTCCTCTGTGTGGGACCTCCCGAAGGAGACTGACCTGCGCCCGCTGTATCCACACCGGGGACTTCGTACACCTGAACGACCGCGGGTCAGAGAGGTGAGAGGGGGGAGAGAGGAGAAAGAGCTGGGACAAAGAGGTGAGAGGGGGCAGGTGACATTCTTGGTGTCATGTGTGTTACTAGAATGTTCAACCATACTGGTCTAGGGGTGTCCAAACTTGTTAGTCAGAGGCCACTGTGGGTCAGACTTGTCCTGGGGCCACACGACCGGTTGGAAAACTGTTCTGACTGGATTAATCCCGAACTTTAAAATGAAAATGTATTGAAGGTGAAGTTGGTTGAACAACCAATGTTTACCATCTCACCATCTAAATACAGTAAATACAAATAAGACGTTCTGAGCTTTGACTATATCAGTGGAGCTATAGATGGCTGGATGACACAAGTGAAGTCCAATAGTGAAGTGCTCTCATGAAGAAAATGTTGCTCCAAATCACTCTAGCTGCTATTGACTAGAAATCAGAGACAAATTTTTACAAGGACAACTATATGAAGGCAAGATTAACACCCAAACACAGCTCCATAGCTCGTTACGCTATTATTAATAAAGTAAATGTATTTGTGTATTGTCCTAAGTCACAACAGTAGTTATTGCAGAGGACCTTATGGTTTCGCATAAGTGTTGATAGATGTTTGTAAGTTTCCCATTAAGCAAAGCAGTGTGACATGTAGTTGAAGAGGAATCTTGTGTCCTGTAAACTGGATCAGCAAAAGTGCTCATGTTGTGACTGTGTTTTCTCCTCAGATACTCAGAGAAACTGGAGCGTTTGAAGAAACTGAGAGAGGAGAAGGACGCTCTGCAGATAAGGTACGTGTCTGTACGTCTGCAGATTTGTGTTCGCTGTTGGTTTTATCTGGTGTTTGTGTCTCAGAGTGTTGGAGGCCATGGAGAAGAAGATCCACGCCGACCAGAGGGTGAGAGACCAAACTAAGACAAACAGAACAAACACAGCCCTCAACAGAGAAAGAGACCAGAGAAAGAAAGCCCAGAGAGAGAGAGAGAAAGGAGAGAAAGAGACCAGAGAGAGAGAGAGAAAAAGACTAGAGAGAGACAAGAGAGAGGGAGAGAGACCAGGGAGAGATTTGGGCTGAAGGCCGAACACGTGTTATATGAAAGTGTGTGTTTCTTTTGTTCCTCAGGAGTGGAAGGTGATGTCGTCTAAAGGCAGAATTCTGCAGCTGAAGGAAGCAGTGTCTGTGACCAAGGAACAACTGAAGAGTGGTGTGTAACAACAACCTGAAAATATACTGCTACTACTACTGTTACTACTACTATGGCTGTTACTACTACTGCTGTTACTACTACTGCTGTTACTACTACTGCTGTTACTACCCTCGGACTTCTGCAGTTGATGGTATCTTTATTTGTTTAGACTGTAAACATGTATTTATAAATGTGAGTTTACATGTGTAAACGTGTGTGTGTGTGTGTGTATCTATGTATGTGTGTATATATATATGTGTGTGTATCCGCAGAGTGCTCGTTGCTGCTACGGTCGCAGGACGAGGTGCAGCGGCTGCAACGGCGAGCAGCTCGTCATCAGGAGAAACGAGACAAGATTGAGCGCCACAACAGACGCCTCACTGAGCTGCAAGACAAACGGCTCCGAGAACTCACCTCCAGACTGGACCTGCTCAGCCAGTGCCGCAGAGACCACGTCCACGAGGTCTCAACACACATCTTCACTCTCCAGGAGGACAAGCCCTCCTCCAGGTACCACTGAAGGGACTGAGGCCGAGTAGGGACTGAGGCCGAGTAGGGACTGAGGCCGAGTAGGGACTGAGGCCGAGTAGGGACTGAGGCCGAGTAGGGACTGAGGCCGAGTAGGGAAGGGACTGAGGCCGAGTAGGGACTGAGGCCGAGTAGGGAAGGGACTGAGGCCGAGTAGGGAAGGGACTGAGGCCGAGTAGGGAAGGGACTGGGGCCGAGACTGAGCAGTATCATTCAAATCTGGTCTCTACAGTCTGTGGTCTACAGTCTTGTTTCTGTTCTGTAGGGAGGAGGACCCACTCGCGGTGAGCACAGTGAGTGAGTTGGCGGAGGCACGCAGGACCACGTATCTGTCCGGTCGCTGGATCTGGGACGATCAGAATGGAGACACGTCTATCAGCATCACCTGTTCCTCTGTGCAGCTGCCTAGCAACGGAGACTGCTCCGCCTACTACAGCCCAGGCCCCGCTCCCCCTGCCGCATGCCCCGCCCCCTCTGCACCAGAGACAGGTACAACACTGCTCCCTACTGGAGCTGTGAGTCTCTCTCTCTCTCTCTCTCTCTCTCTCTCTCTCTCTCTCTCTCTCTCTCTCTCTGTCTCTCTGTCTCTCTGTGTCTCTGTGTCTCTGTCTCTGTCTGTCTCTGTGTGGATCTCAACAGTCCTACTATGGAGGACCAAAAATGACTAAAGTATAAATAAATAGGAATATATTAATAAATACATTCATTTTGGACAATAAAAACTAAATATTTACATTGATATGCTAAATATTACTCTGAAATCAAATAAATATACTTTTATTTAGGTTATTTATCAATATCTACATTTTTTCCTTTATTTATTTATCCATTTATTGCATATATTTATTTATGTATTTCTACATTTCTTCATTTATTTATTTATGTATTTCTACATTTCTTCATTTATTTATTTATGTATTTCTACATTTCTTCATTTATTTATTTATGTATTTCTACATTTCTTCATTTATTTATTTATGTATTTCTGTGTCGCTACATTTCTTCATTTATTTATTTATGTATTTCTACATTTCTTATTATTTATGTATTTCTGTGTTCCTGTATGCTAATTAGGTGGGCGGTGCTGAACTCAATCTAGAACAGGATTGGTTAGGATTGCGTGAACTCTGGTCTCGATCATTTACTGCCTCACATTACGGTACTCTGTTAGCTAGCTAGAGATCCTCTGTGCACTTTTGTGTGGTATGATGGCAGTTTCGAATGTAAGTTTTTTAGGAGCCGTTGCTCATCAATTAAGAGCATTAGCAAATGATGTTAATGATGTTGAGCATAATGCACCTGAGGACTATCTACTCTTTCGGCTGGAAAGACTATTAAATGTTTTAGTTCATCACAGTGCTGACCCAACTGTGATGCAACTGTGCTGGACGCTCTTCAACAAGCAGCAGCTTCACATCCTCTCACAAACCGAGAAGGCTAAAGCTTAGCGTACATCGGACTGGCAACTGATTATATCCGTCGCATATGAGTTGCTGCCCCGCACACATCGACAATCTGACGAAAACGGGCAACTCCCAGTAGCAGACCAGTCTCGGGAATAACAGCGCGTACATCGACAGCAACTGGCCTCAACTACAGTGTGTTTTCTGACATAAACTGTTGCGGGCTCGCAACACACGCAATACACACACGTTGTCGGAGCGGCGCATGGAGCGCGCACATCGGGGCAACTGAGGACAACTAGTTGCCGAAAAGTAGAACACGGGCAACTGACTGAAACTGGAGACCGACTGCTCATCTCCAGTTGTAAGAGCGCTCACATCGACCGATTTCGGCAACTGATCATCTCCCACCATCTCCTCTCAGTTGCCAAAAGCCGCCTTGCAACTAGTTGTCCCCAGTTTCTCTGTCGATGTACGCTAGGCTTAACTTTGCTTCTGTCTGGTTGCCCTACTGCCCACCAATCATTGAGTTCAGCACCGCCCACCTAATTAGCATACGGCAACACAGAAATACATAAATAAATAAATGAAGAAATGTAGAAATACATAAATAAATAAATGAAGAAATGTAGAAATACATAAATAAATAAATGAAGAAATGTAGAAATACATAAATAGATAAATGAAGAAATGTAGCGACACATAAATACATAAATAAATAAATGAAGAAATGTAGAAATACATAAATAAATAAATGAAGAAATGTAGAAATACATAAATAAATAAATGAAGAAATGTAGAAATACATAAATAAATATATGCAATAAATGGATAAATAAATAAAGGACAAAATGTAGATATTGATAAATAACCTAAATAAAAGTATATTTATTTGATTTCATAGTAATATTTAACACATCAATGTAAATATTTAGTTTTTATTGTCCAAAATGAATGTATTTATTAATATATTCCTGTATTTATTTATTTATTTATACTTTAGTCATTTTTGGTCCTCCATATCCTACACCTTTATGAGGTAACAGTACCACAATAACATCACACTCAGAGCAGTTTTCTGTATTTTAAAAACAAATTTCATTAAAAACATGTTTTGAGCCGGTAAGTGAAAAAACCTCTGTTGACAGAGGAGGGAGTTACAGACAGAAACTCATAAATATTCTCCTGATCCATTTATAAATGTCAGAATAACGGTGTTCCTGTTTCCTCAGAGCTGGAGCTGAACCCGGTCCACACCATCAGTGCCGCGCTCTGCTACACCACACAGCTCACCACCATCCTGTCCCACATCCTAGACATCAACCTGCCCAAGAAGCTGTGCCACAGGTGGGCTGCTGGTCAGGACTCTGCCCGGGGCAACTGTGGCCATGTGTGGCCCGTCAGCTGCAGTGTCTCTGTGTGTTGCCATCTCTCTCTCTAGTCGCATTTCCACCGCAGGAACGTCGGGGTAATTTTACAGAACCAGTCCCTTTGGTGTGTGTCTCCACTGCAGGACCCTGCCCCACAGGACCATTTACAGGAACTTTGACGGGGCCCAATGGAGCTCCTCTTCCATGCTAGGTCATCCGTTGAGTCCTGAGCAGCTCTTGGTGGGGCTTGAGGTTAACCCGTTGCTGATTGGCTAGAGCAGGCTCTGACGCCAGCAGAAAGCACCAAAACAACCGGCATTTTAAACTCTAGCAGCTTTAGCCTAGCAGACGGTAAACAACAACAACAAGATGTACAATAAATGGACAGAGGATGAGGTGCAGGCATTGATTCAGATGGGGTTTGAGGCACCGCAGCAAGATGAAAAGATACATCAGTGCACGCTAGGGATTCATCACACTCTAAAACAAGCTATGAAAATTTAAAAAAACCCTCAAAGACCACAACAACCGGAGCGGTTCCCACCGTTAAATATATAATTACTGATTACACGGTGATCAAAACTCATGACGTCGATGAGGGGTCCTGCTTTGCAGTGGAGACACTGAGAGGCCGAGGGAGAGGACGGTTCCTGTAGAAGTCCCACCCCCTCCTTTTACCAGGAACTCCTGCGCTGGAAACGCGACTTCTGTCTCTCTGGTCTTGGTCTCAGACCTTTTCTATGGTCCTGTCCCTGGTCCTGTTCCTGGTCTCAGACCTTTTCTATGGTCCTTTCCCTGGTCCTGTTCCTGGTCTCAGACCTTCCCTTTGATCTTTTTGCAGTGAGTTCTGTGGAGAAAACCTGAGTCGTTACAGATTCACCAGAGCTCTGAACAAACTCAACACCAACGTCCTGCACCTCTGCTTCTCACAGGTACCAGTGACACACACAGGTACCAGCTGCACAACCACTGTTGTGAGAATACTGTGACTTTGGTTTAAGTAGATTAAACTCTATTTAAAGCTGCGTCGTGTATGAACTACACAACCGCACCTCTCCAGAGAGGTACATTATGTTAAAGCCTAGATTCTGATTGATGAGTTTCTTATTTCCTTCTTTTACTCTGCTGTTATGTGCAACTATGACATTGAAATTTCCACTGAGAGACAAATAAAGGTGTGTCTTACTTCCTCGCTGTTTAATTCTCACTCTTTCTTACTGAAATCTTGGTTAAACTGGGCTCAGTTGCATTTCGCTTTTTTTCTCGTTCGTGTGACTGTTTACAGCTGGTGGACAGTGAGAAGCTCCATCCTCACCACACTCTGAGAAACCTCATGTTCCTGGTGTCTCCTGGAAACCAGCATCTGGGCAGGTGAGCACTGGGCTACTCACTACTCGCACAGATCCTATTAGAGGATAGAGGTTTAGAAGTGTACCTCACAGACCTTTTTTAAATCATCAGATTAAAGGAATAGGCCACCGTTTTTACATACTGACATATGTTCTTACCTTACCTTAGATTAGTTGATATGTACCTGTCTGGTCTGTGTCCGTGCGCTCTGTCATGCAAACGGAGCACAAATGCAGCCTTTTCCACATACTATATAGTACCAAATTAGCTCCGATTAGAAGCTACCTAACTCTTCCACGCTGCTTCTATTGACGGAAGTGAGCGGGAGAGAAGTCTTTTAGGAGTTAGTGCGCGGACATAGCGCTCCTCGTATTATTACGCCTCACAATATAGTACCCCTTTTTATCCGCTGAGAAAATCGACACGTTACATTTCTGTGTTACTATACTTGGTAGTGTAACACGTCACGTAACTGTATTTAAATAGGGAACACGTGGAAGAGTTTGGTAGCTTCTAACGGGAGCTGATTTGGAACTATACAGTCTGTGGAAGAGGCTGCGTTTGTGCTCCGTTTGCATGACAGAGCGCACGGACACAGACCAGACAGGTACATATCAACTAATCTAAGGTAAGGTAAGAACATATGTCAGTATGTAAAAACGGTGGCCTATTCCTATAAGTACAGTAAATTACGGACGGAAAAGAGAGGACTGCTCAGGGCCCTGGTCCCGCCCTTGTCCTGACCATGGACGTCGGAACTATTTTTCTGAGAGGGGGGGCGGGTTTTTGTTGGGAGAGTCGAGGGAGAGACTCATACTTGGATTACACTGGATAATAACATACCATCTTAATTGTTAAAAAAAATAAACAATATATATCAAGCAAGTCACTTATCAAACTGAACTTTTTTTTTTTCAATACGCATTCATGCGTCAGTCTCTCCGGTGGCTTCATTGTGTTGTGTAGCCCAGTGACGTGCGGTCAGATGAGGCAGGTAAGGCCCTCACCTAAGATCATAGAAAGAAAAGTAATATAATGGATACAATAATGTTTGGTCACTTTATCAAGTGATTTGTGCTGTGCCTTATTTAATTTATTTATACCTTGAAATCGCAGATTTGACAGAGCGGCGCTGTGAGGCAAGCCTCTCTTGGGAGACGTAAAAAGCAACAGCTCACAGGGAGAGTCCTGTGAGGTGCTATCAAACTGTTTTCTCTGTTTATCACAGTTTAAAAAGTTCAAAAATATTTAATTTACAATCAACATGTTTACATTTAAGAGGATGGCTCATAAATTGTGTTTTTGAAGCAAATATGGGTCTTAATCGCGCTCAACCACAGCTTGTAAGTGAGGAAAGCCTCAAGGGGGCGCTTGTGAGCCCAAACTTTGGCTGCATCCAATTCCATCAGAAAGCTCCTTTCTTGTTCTTCTTCTGCTAAGGGCAGCTACAGGTTTGGCTAACATACCTATAATACATTTTAAGAATAATTTAAAATGCACTTAGAGTAATGTTTTGCTTCCAATGATGATATGAATCATAAGAAAAAGAGGTGAAGGGTAAGGTTGAATTTAGAAATTGGATTTACCCGGGAGTCGGCTGCAGCAAAACTCGCAGTTTACGGAGGAGACACCCGTTTTTTTTTTACTTTTTAAAACTCATTGAACTTATTTCCAAATGGAGGATTACATGTCTGTGCTCAAACTATTATCTGGACTTAAACATGAAACTGGTCCTAACTGAAGTGGTCTGTGCTGTTCATTAACACCTAAGGTATAAGGCCCATAACACACTTTGTACTTTTTACAAACGTTTGCGTTTTGTATGAGAAAACTATGCAGACATTAAATCATATTCTGCTGTAGCCAAACAAATTGTGTATAAGCCGCTCCTGTTCCTGTAGGTCCTGTTGGTTTATATGATGTATAATCATATGAACAAATGATTGATCCCCCACCGCACGTCACTGGTGTAGCCAGGTCTTTAATCTGCGCAAGGCTGAGAAAGAGCGCTCAGAGGCTGCGACAGATATTAGCCAGACAGAGCTTCATAAGCACCTCCGACAGCATGGAGCGGGTTTTGGGCTGCAAGGAACGCAGGATAGTGATAACTTCTCGCTCCCGGCACACGCGGAGGGGGTGCGGCCGCACCAGGGGGTGCGGCCGCACCCCCCGCACCCCTAGTTCCGACGTCTATGGTCCTGACCCGCTCTTGCTGTGTTCCAGGACCGGTCCATTTGAGGTGTACGGGGGTCTTGAGGAGTCCATGGAGTTCCTGGAGCCAGAGGGAGGACTGGAGGAGAGCGGAGAGGAGACGGTGACTGACGAGGAGACTGACCTGGGGACTGACTGGGAGACTGTGCCCTCCCCTCGCTTCTGCGACATCCCTTCACAGGTGACATCTCAAGTCCTGCAGCTACTGCTAATGTATGCTACTGTCAGTTTATCTGCACTGTTAAATGTCTTCGTGCAATTGCATATCATAGTAATATGAAAAAAATATCTATTACTCTTGCAACCAAGTGCAAAACAAAATGTTTGACTTCCTGTTACTTACAAAGGCAATAACAATAATTCTGATTGTAATGTTTCTGTGTGTGTGTGTCTCTTTCTCTCTCTCTTTGTGTGTCCCCAGCCCATGGATCTTTCCCAGAGTGCACTGCAGGTGTCTCAGCCGTCTGCTCACTCCGGTGGAATGATCTCCTCTGCTGCCGCCTCAGTTACTTCCTGGTTCAGAGCGTACACAGGACAGCGCTGAGTGTGACATCACCACCGTGTGACATCACCAAAGTGTTGGCCTTATTGTGCAAGAAGCTGATTTGAACAAAAACTGGAGACAATTTCCCCTATATTTCAGCCTGCGTTAGCTTCTAGCCGTAACTGGGGCAGATGTGTTGCTAAGACTGGGGTGGAGATTCCCCCACAAATGAAGGCATCTGATATCCTTATATGGCTCATATCTGGATTTAAGACAATATCACAATATAAACACCAGGAGTTTACAAATACATGGAAGTCAACAGGAGCCAGAAAGAGTTGGAGCAAAACGTCACCATGAGCACTTCTCTATTGGGCTTCATTGAGCTAGCAGCTTAATCTGTGCAGTCTATGTTCAGAGCTGAAGCCCACTCAACAAATATTAAGCATTGTTTTTGTCCGTTTCAGAGAAGAAATCTTTCATTTTATTTAGTTGTTTCATGTGTTAGAATGTTGAGTAGAAATTATCTGGAGACATAAGAATGGAGGTGATATGTGTGACTTTAAAGGATGAAATTGCCAAAACTCATTCATGTACAATTCATTTGTTTAAAGGCAGAAAGAAAGAACCCTGTGAGTCACTATTTGACCCTTTGAGCTGATTGGCTGAGTCAGGGTGGTCGGCTGTTTGTCTTTTCTGTTTGAAAAATCTGATCTAAAGATGTGTCAGAGGCCAAGCATGATGTGAAACCAGTGAGAGAACCTGGTTTAAAGCCAAGTGACATAGATTTTATCACATATTACCTGTTTTTTTGTGTGGTTTGAAAGTTATGACCTCAGCTTTAAAGTTCTCCCATTCTATAACACAATTTTCTCAAGATGAACAAAAACATGCGTAATTTGCTTTGTGGGAATAAGATTAGAGGGAGCAGAGGACTAGACCAAGTGTGACCCAGGTCTGGACCTGGTTTAAAGGAGGACTGAACCAGGACACAAATCAATTGTTTTTTTTAATGTACAGTTACAATCATTTTTATGCCTGTAAAATGTTGTGACCTGAACAGTCTTCGCCACAGACAGATCCTGCTTCAGACCCGGCCCTCAGGTCACAGACTTCGAGCCTCAGACCTCTGGTCTCAGACATAGGCCTTGGCCTCAGACCTCAGTGTGATTTAAAGCTGTCCTTTGAAGTGCCACAGAAGAGTTTGCACTAAACGTTTATTACTGAAAAGATGAAATGTCAGAGTTTTGTCGTTATGGAAACAAGGGAATGCTGCGTTTTAAGGTCTTTTAATGAAAATTTATGGAGAATAAAAGAGCTTTGATTATAGCTAAAACACAGATGTAGATTGTTAGAAAAAGTTTGAATAAAAAAAACTAAAGTCATGTTTCACCTGTGTTTATTAAACATTCAGCTTTAGGAAGTCTGTTTGAAATACGGAGCGGAGCAGAGGAGACTGCAGGAGGTTATTTTAGTTCATTCTACTGTTAAAAGCTCCTCTAGCGACTTAAAAGAAGACATGTTATGCATAATCGTTGTCCTTTGAAAAATAATGACAATATTTAATATTTACAGTCTATGGACTATTCACTAATCTCCAGTAGAAAACATGGTGGAACGGGTCAAGAGGATAAAACAATGACTGCCTCTTACTCCCTGAGCTGCCGCCAGAGGGAGAAGAATTTGTCTTGATTTTAAAATCCTGTGCTTCCAACTCACACTTGAAAATGACTAAAACTCATGTAGGTGCAATGCTTTTGTTTAAAAGCCTGAAAACAGCTCTGAGTGTAATGTCAAAATCAATGACATCACACTGATACAGTAGCTGAGTGGATAGCACTCTCGGTTCTCAGTGAAGGTCCTTCAGCTCTGGTTCTGACCAAGCCGAGCGTTAACATCTAGAGATGGGTCAGAAATGGGTGAGAGTGAGACAGCTTTTTGACAGAAGGGGCATGTTTTTGCCAGTTCCTGATATGAATGGATCTAAAGTCTGATTCTGAATTGGAATTTGCATATTCTGCCCGTGTCTAAAGATGGTCCCTGTTACTAGGGCAACCACTGCTGCGGACAGACGCCCGAGGACGGGTCAAATCCAGAGGACACATTTCCCTTCATTTACAAACACAGCTCCAGCTCTGTGTTTGATGAGGAACAAAGGCCACAAGGCAATCTCGCAATATGTGTCTTCTTTAACATTGAGACGTGTCTGCTGTCGTATGTAATGTAGTATGTTAGTATGTTAATGTAGTATTGTTTACAGACTGTCTCCTGTAAAGCTGCAGAATTGGCCTCATGTTGCCGCAGACCTCAGGATGTGGTGCTCAGTTCTGGGAGCAGCACGTCAGGATTATCTGCTGTGAAATGTGAGGCACGGCTTTAAACCGATCAAAGAAAACAAGTGTTTATGGAACTGGCCACAGGGAGGCGCTGTGCGGAGGGACTGCCATAGCTGGCATTGGACCATAGATGGACACAGATGCAGAAGAGGAGCCAACACTCAAATATGTTGCTCCAAATGAAAGTTTCAAATGGTAACCCCTCAACAATTTCTCAATGTGGCTCTGGAGAGGGGGCGACAGTGGCTCAGTTGGTAGAGCATTGGCCTTTGAGCCTGAAGGTCGTGGGTTCAAGCCCACCATAAGACCTACTTCACGACTCCCACTGATGACTGCTGTCGTTGTGTCCTTGGGCAAGACACTTAACCCCACTTTGCCTGAAGCTCCCACTGAAAGATCTCAGCTCCTGTGGACTCACCACCTGCAGGAGGATCAGTGAGGGGCTGGTGCTGTGTGTACTGGGTGCATCTCTGACTGCCACCCCCCCGACCCAGAAATGATTAAGGGGAAGAAAATGGATGGATGGAAATGGATGGATGGCTCTGGAGATAATCATTGCTCACCATTGCTTTTAGAGACTGAAGATGGAAACTAGCATCTCGATATAATCTGGTGCATATCTGTACACTGCTCTTCAATAAAGACTAAAGGGCCTCCGTCAGCAACAGTGGTTGCCGTAGTAACAGGGACCAATCTCCATATGTTGATGCTCTTCAGGTTCAACTATTGTACATATTTTATATTGGTATAGGGGAAATCGGAGCACCTGGAGGAAACCTACAGACACGAGGAGAACATGCAAACTCCACGCAGAATGGCCCTGTGTTGACCATAAACCCAGACCCTTCTTACGGAGGTCCAAAATCTCTCATTTATCTCATAATTTCCAAGGGCCAAAATCAATGCATAATATTTCTTCTTTAGTTAAATCTGTTTCAACACACACTGCCCTAATTACTAGTGTTACTATAGAATTACTACAGTTACTACACAGTTTCTACAGTGCTTCTACAGATTTACTACAGTCCTGAACATTTGGCCATCCGTGGGTTAACTCGTGCTCAGCTTAAACCCTGTGATGGTGAGTTTTAATCTCCCCAGAGTCCAGAGTCCAGAGCTGAAGGTACAGGTCCACCATGAAGACCGTTGTGCTGCTGCTGTGTCTGCCCCTGGTCCTGTCCTCCCCTGACTCACCCGACTCACCCGGGACCAGCGGGGCCCTTTCCCAGAAGCACCAGGACTACACCAGGACCCAACAGGAGAAACTGCACCATAAAGACCTGGATCATTACACAGGGAATGTTGTCGTTGACGTTGGCCCAAGACCAGAGAACCCTTCCACTGGAGAAGATGGAACCACACAAAAGTTTAGGGTCAGGGTTAGCGGAAGCCAAAGAAAAGAGAATTCTGACGGAAAAACTACTGTAGATGGACATCGAGCGATTCAAGCCTCTGATGGGACCTCAGAAGACTTTCAGAATTCAGACCAAAACCCATGGGATCGTTCTGACCCGGACAATCACACAGGAGGTAGTAAAGATGGACAGCTATTGGATGGGGCGAAGGTGACTCAAGAGGCAGAAACTGAGCAAAGACTTGTGGAAAATTACCAAATTCTTATCGGGATCTTCACAGACGCACAACTTTTTAATGAGAGGACGCAGATGGAGAAGTCTAAAGAAATGGATGTGGATGAAGCAGCACAAAATTCTAAACTGGGTGTGACCGAATATGGCAAATTTATTCAAAAATCTGCAAAGCTTTTGCCTACATTTGAAGACATCAAAGCTGCAGACAAGATGCAAGGTTTTGGAAAAGTCGAGGGGAAAGCAAAGAAGTTTGATAGAGAAAAACACTGGGAAAATAGTCAGACAAAAGTAAATAGAAGTGAGATTTTAGGAAAGAATTGGTCAAAAGAATCTATTGAAAATGATAAAAGACTATTCAAAGAACCACAGACAGAACATGCAGCTAGTAACAGTTCAACAGATGTTACAGATGTAGACATTTCTAAAGTCACAGTTCACGAAATGAACAGACATTTAGTTGGTGTCAGAAATACTGGCAAAAATTTGGAATTAAAAAATCAAGAAACAAATAATAAATCGGATGAAGAAATTAAAGGGGAAGAGATCAACCTGGATAGGGATTTGAAAATATTGCAGGAAACTCCGGATCCCAGTGAAGATGGATTTGAAAATACAACTAAAGCAAAACAAAACCCATTTATAAGTGTGGACTTCCGTGATGATGCAAGAAACAAACACAAAATAGCAGCAGACAGAAAAGACAGAAAGAAGGAGGAGAATACTGGGCAAAAATTTAACAATTCTAGAGCCAAAATGGCGGAAAAGGATCGTTCAAATGTAGAAAGGAATCAAAAAAGCGTGAGTTTCACAGCAATCAAACCCAGGGCAGGAGATGACGGAGTGAACACAGAAACCATTGGACACAAAATGGAGGATTCTGTAGACAATGTAATGAACGTTGGACAAAACATTGGAAACTATAGACCTAAAATGGTGGACTTGGATCAGACAAGAACAGAATTCTATCAAAATAACGATGATTTCACAGAGATCAGGCTTGAAATGGCTGATGACGGAAACAAAATGGATACTTTCCAAATCAAAACGACAACAGTTGGACCCAAGAGTCATGGTTTCACAGCAATTGGACACAAGATTGGGGTCAAAATGGTGGATATTAGTCACAAAATGGCAGATGTGGATCAGACAATGTCTGGATCCATAATGGACGACCAGGATAGTCTGAACTCAGAATTTCTTGCGAAAAGTGAGAGTTTTACAGCAACCAAACACAAAATGGCAGACTTGGATCAAATAAGCAATGGTTTCATGGAGGTGAGACTTGAAATTTCAGATGGTGAGACCAATATGCTGAAAGTTGCACAAGAAATGGAGGCTATAGGAGTGAAATCTACAACAATTGGACCCAAATTGGCGGATGTGGATCGAACAAGAGCAGACATGGATTCCAAAAGTGACCGATTTAAAGTAATTAGACACAAGATTGGACCCAAAATGGCAGATATGGATCGGCTGACACACGTCCAAAGGCAGGACCAGGACCAGAGAGCCAGACCGGCCCGAGACCTGGAAGAGTGCCAAGACGGTGTTCGGGTCTTGGATGATCTCCGGTCTGAAGTGGGACCAGAGCCCAGAGACCGGTTCAGCGTAGATCGTGGCCACAGTCTGGACCTGCTCGAGGATCTGCAGGGGCTTCACACCGAGGACCAGGGCATTCTAGACCTGGACTCCAAGACCGGACAAGGTCTAGAGCCAGGTTTTGAGCTGGATGAGAGCAAAGATCAGACTGGGACTGAAGACCTGGGCCAGGATCGTGAGGTGACGCACACATACACACTTGCGTACACACACACACACACAAGTCTTGACCCATGAATCTGTCCCCCAGGCCTCTCGGTTCTCAGACCAGACCTTCGACTTGGACATGGGCTTGGCCCCTCCCTCGTCCTGGACCGGTCTGTGGGACGAGCTGAGGAGCCTGCGGAGGTTGGTCCTGGTTCTGAAAGGCCGGGACTCGGACAGGAGCCAGACCATCCGGACCCTGGAGACCACCCTGAGAGACCTGACCCAGGAGACTCAGCAGAGCCAGACCCGGAGCCGGACTGTGGATCAGGACCTCAGAGAAACCAGGAAAAATGTCCAGGAGCTGCAACACCAGAACCAAGGTGAGAGGACTTGGCAGGAGGCCAGGGTGAGACGAGACAAGGACTAAGACCAGGACCAGGAGATTGAGACCGGGGCCAGACCAGGACTTACACTATGTCCTTCTCAGATTTAAAGTTTGAGTTCTTGGAGCTGAAGTCCAGACTGAACCAGACCCAGTCCCTTCCTGAAGACCTACAAAGGAGCCAAGGTGAGTCCCACATGGTCCCTGTCCATATCTGATCCAGACCCGGTCCAGACTGGTTTCCTAAGTGTGACTGTTCCTCCTCAGAGTCCATGTCAGAGCTGCTGTTCCTGCAGACTCGGCTGAGGGCAGCAGAGGGTGCTGTGGAGGAGCTGAAGAGGAAGGGCTCTGGTCTGTTTAGAGCTCACCACAACGTTCCCAGTAGCAAAGGATTTAGAAATAATATAAATATGCTAATTATTCAAAAAATGTATGATTCACGTGTACATAACGTTGGCAAATGAAAAATTAGGAATAATGACAGTAACTGTTGATAGCAACCTTATCTAAGCTTTATCTCACTGTTCAATTTACTACGTAGAGTAGAGTAGAGTAGAGGAAGGTGGAAAGTGGAAACAGGGCTTTTGATTGCACTGATAAACTACCATCTTTCACTTTTGTTTTGAGTTTCTCTGAGTTACTTCAAAAATGTACATATTACAAAAGTATATGGCTCTCCCAACAATGCTCATATGAAAGACTATTTGACTGTTTGGGCTGAGAGCTGATTGGCTGAGTGAGGGTGGATCTCTCTTTGTCACTTTCTGTCTGAAACTTTTGTTGTGGTTTGAAAGTGAGGTGCTTTAAGCATTGATGTCACATTCTAACAGTGTCTGTGGTTCCAGTGTTTGCGTCAAAGCTGTGTGCGGCCGAGTCCCAGCTGCAGAGACTCTCCTTAGGTCAGACTCATGTTTCTGTTTGAGTCCAGAGGAAAGACCACAGACTAAAAAACCTGTTTTGTCCCAGAATGCAACACGTCCAGCAGCTCTGAGGCCGAGAGACTAGACCTTCTCTCTCTCCAAAAACAAGGTCTGAATATAGGAGGTTTGCTTGATAAGACAATCAAACCGTTTGAACACCGGAAATACAATCAGAAAAGTTAATAAATGTCCTGGATCATTGACAAGGAATAGTGATAAAGGACTGAGGCTGTAGACCCAGGACTGAGGCTGTAGACCCAGGACTGAGACTGCGGACCCAGGACTGAGGCTGTAGACCCAGGACTGAGACTGCGGACCCAGGACTGAGGCTGCAGATCCAGGACTGAGGCTGTGGACCCAGGACTGAGGCTGTAGATCCAGGACTGAGACCCAGGACTGAGGCTGTAGATCCAGGACTGAGGCTGTAGACCCAGGACTGAGACCCAGGACTGAGGCTGTAGATCCAGGACTGAGGCTGTAGACCCAGGACTGAGACCCAGGACTGAGGCTGTAGATCCAGGACTGAGGCTGTAGACCCAGGACTGAGACCCAGGACTAAGGCTGTAGATCCAGGAGGGAGGCTGTAGATCCAGGACTCAGGACTGAGGCTGTAGGTCCAGGACTGAGGCTGTAGATCCAGCACTGAGACCGTAGATCCAGGTCTGAGGCTGTAGATCCAGGACTGAGGCTGTAGATCCAGGACTGTTGTGAACAATTTTAAGGATCTGGTATTGTTGGTAATGTGACATTTTACCTGCTGCTGTTTGTACCTGCAGGGACTGTCTTTGAGCTGAAGGGGGCGCTCAACTCCACTCAGACTCTGGTGCAGGAGCTCGGACACAGAGTCACAGATTTGAGAGCAGAGATGGTCTCCATGACGACATCAGGGACAGGTCTGTTCTGCTGATGGAGAAGCTATGGCCTCATTCACACTGAGAGAAAACACTGAGGAATCCATGATCCTCTGGGTCTGAAATATTCCATTCAGTGTCTTTAACCTTTGACCTGTGTGTGACGTTTAGGAGCAGTGGAGGAGCTGAGGTCTCACATGGAGCAGCTGCAAAAACATCTGCAGAAGAACAGCAGCGGTGAGAGGAGCCAGTCCAGCTTTACTCTGTCTGGGGACCACAGACTAGGACTGAGACTAGGACCTAGAGACCACAGACTAGGACTGAAACTAGGACCTGGAGACCACAGACTAGGACTGAGACTAGGACCTGGAGACCACAGAGTAGGACCAGGATTTATTTTCTGGTATGGTGTTTTTCAGCTGAAGTCTCTGAGGTGAAGGAGAAACTGCAGCAGGAGCTGGACCTCAGGCTCTCAGGTAAAAGAAATGTTATGCATTATTTCTGCCCAATAATATTGAAAACAAGACTATTACTTTGTCATTTCATGTGTTAGAACGTGAAATAATATTTTCAGTAGAAAGTAAATGATTAGACCAATATGAAGTGTATTAATGCTTTTGCCTGTCATTCCCTGTGCTGCCACCAGAGGGAAACTGTGTTCAGGGCTATATTTTAGTTGCAAAGTCAGATGTTGTTGTGAGAGCTTCTGTTGTGAGAGGCCTTGTGCGTATTGGTTGAGAATGGTCCTGGACTAGCCTTTCCTTAGCCATCCATAGACTCCGGTCAATGATCATTTCCCTGCATGTAATTTGTACTATGGTGTGGTACGACCAGGCTCGTCCTGGACCGGTTCTGACTGGTTGGCTCATTGTACAATACAATACAAAAGAGAAAACATATTTCTATTTATATCATTTGAAAAGAAGTAGAAGGTAGAAGTAAAGCTTATGTTTCCTGCCTCTTTTTACAGTTTCTTTCTTTTGTTTCTTTTACAGTTTTACAAGTGATTCAGATCAGTCTACAGTCAGAACATAAACATTGGATATTTCTCGTAAATATAATTGACCCTTGTTTCCATAAATAGTCATATTTTAAAGGTAGATCAAACACCAGTGATATTCAGGATCTTGTCATTTCTATTTCTGCTTCAACTATTTATGGTTTACAGTTGTTTTACCTGTTGCTGTTTGTGCCTGCAGGGACTGTCTCCGAGCTGAACTCCACTCAGACTCTGGTGCAGGAGCTCGGACACAGAGTCACAGATCTGAGAGCAGAGATGGTCTCCATGATGACATCAGGGACAGGTCTGTTCTGCTGATGGAGAAACTATGGCCTCATTCACTCTGAGAGAAAACAGTGAGACACGGCTGCCGTGTCAGAAGCACAGCCTTTAACCTTTAACCTGCCTCGTGACCTAGTCTTTAAAACCCCAGAATCCAATCTGAGAGAAGCAGAAGACATTCATGATCCTCTGGGTAGAAATCTTAGGTTCAGTCTCTTTAACCTTTGACCTGTGTGTGATGTTCAGGAGCAGTGGAGGAGCTGAGGTCTCACATGGAGCAGCTGCAGAAGCAGAGCTCAGGTCAGAAACAGGACTTGTCTGGACCAAGACTAAATCAGGACTGTACCAGGTCTGGACCAAGACTGGACCAGGACTGAAGCAGCATTTCTGGTGTTTTTCAGCTGAAGTTTCTGAGGTGAAGGAAAAACTGGAGCAGGAGCTGGACCTCAAACTCTCAGGTTTTTGTTTAAAAGAAGAAATATTACGAATAATAGTTTATGGTTCTTCTAAACCTGAAAACAGGAGGTTAGTGATGTTATTACTTTGACATGTTTCGACCATAGACTGTAAATATTAACGGACGTAGTTACAACTATCTCCGCCATTGAAGTATTGTGCCATCACTTTTGGGTTCTATGGGGCTTTTTCAAAATGGCCGCAGGCAGCCCCTCCCACAGGAAAATGTTAAAAAACACATTTGCACATACATTAGCCGCCATCAGCCCCATTCATTGAACAAGTGCCTTCTGAAGTCCACAGAGGCTAAACTAGACTAGTCCATAAATATACTCCCCTCAGCATTGACACTCATCTGGAACACAGCTTTGGGCCGAGAGCCAACTTTTGGATCATCCTGTAAAGCTGTTTTTGAGAGGAAAGAATACGTATGCTATACAAAAGCATTGGATAATTCTCTTGGGTACACCCCCACTGACCCAGGGTGGTGTCGTGCACATATGTCAGCACACGTGCTCATGGACGTTTTTGAGCCGGGACACTCGGATACTTTCGTCTTGATCAGAAGTGTCTCATCACACATGTCGTGTCTGTATCAGCTGCTGTTCCCAGGACTCCCAGCAGTCAACACAGTGACCTGTGGTCCACAGACTGCGCCCCCTGCTAGTGTGTGGTCCACAGACTGCGCCCCTGCTGGTGTGTGGTCCACAGACTGCGCCCCTGCTGGTGTGTGGTCCACAGACTGCGCCCCTGCTGATGTGTGGTCCACAGACTGCGCCCCCTGCTGGTGTGTGGTCCACAGACTGCGCCCCTGCTGGTGTGTGGTCCACAGACTGCGCCCCCTGCTGGTGTGTGGTCCACAGACTGCGCCCCTGCTAATGTGTGGTCCACAGACTGCGCCCCCTGCTGGTGTGTGGTCCACAGACTGCGCCCCTGCTGGTGTGTGGTCCACAGACTGCGGCCCCTGCTGATGTGTGGTCCACAGACTGCGCCCCCTGCTGGTGTGTGGTCCACAGACTGCGCCCCCTGCTGATGTGTGCTTTACAGACTGCACAACGTAATAATTTTGCTAATCTGCTGTTGTCTGGTTTGGAAGAACAAGATAAAAACTGTGAAGTTTATCGTTTTTGTTGGAGTGAGTCGAGTGAGTTGTAGCCGAGCACAGACATGAGGTGTTGGTTGATGTGGCTGCAGGTTTTTATTCCAACGGATAAGGACCAGAGCAGACTCCCCCCATTTCCTAAGTGAGTCCAGTCTGAACCTGAAGACCAGAGGAAATGGGTGGAGTCTGCTGTACTCCTGATTAGTTTAAATTAAAACCTGCAGCTTTGAGGTCTAACCCCCCTGGTCAATAGGATCTTTGGAACATTGTGATGTCACACAAACACTAACTCTAGATCCCGACTTTTAATGGATTTGACCTTCCATTCATCCATGATCCTCTGGGTCTGAAATATTCCATTCAGTGTCTTTAACGTTTAACCTTTGACCTGTGTGTGACGTTCAGGAGCAGTGGAGGAGCTGAGGTCTCACATGGAGCAGCTGCAGAAACATCTGGAACATCTGCAGAGGAACAGCAGCGGTGAGAGGAGCCAGTCCAGCTTTACTCTGTCTGGGGACCACAGACTAGGACTGAGAGTAGGACATGGAGACCACAGACTAGGACTAAGACTAGGACCTGGAGACCACAGAGTAGGACTGAGACTAGGACCTGGAGACCACAGACTAGGACTGAGACTAGAACCTGGAGACCACCAGGATTTATTTTCTAGTACGGTGTTTTTCAGATGACGTCTCTGAGGTGAAGAAGAAACTGCGACAGGAGCTGGACCTCAGCCTCTCAGGTATCTGATTTTAAAGAAATTATAAATTATTGCCACCAAATGGAGACTGTGTTTAAGATAAGATAACTTTATTCATCTCACAATAGAGACATTAACATGTCCCCTTTGGCATAGATAGAATCAGATTCAGATTGTGCAAAAGACGGAAGTGTGCAAACATGTTTAGGTTAAAAATATAGTCCGAGCAGAATAAATTAGCAGTGCTGGTTATTTCATAGTGCAGGTCATTAGTGACTTATTGTACAGTTTGACAGTGGTGGGGATAGAGAAAATACTTTTGTTCTTGTTGTCATTACCATTCTACGTCATGGTGCTACGTCCCTTAGGACTTCGCTAGTGGGATATCACTCGTGACCCCCAGGTCACACGCCAGAGAGATCAAAATAATTTGCTCCAATCACCAGCCACCGTCCTCTATAAATGCCCCTGCACAAGGCCGCACCCCCTCTTTCACTCTGGCGCCGTTTGAGATCTACTACAGTACTTACTTCATTCTGAGATGTCTTCCTTGTTCGTCCGAGTTCCCTTCGCCCTCCGGCGTCGGACGTCATCGCTGGATCCAGACGGTGGAGGACTTCACCTCTGTGGGCGCCACCACTCGAGGGAGGAGGAGGATACAACCCACGTTGTGCCCGCGGATGGACCTGTTTGTAATGGGGGGTTTGAGTGTAAACAGACTAAAAAGTGGTAAATTAAAATGGTGCCGAATAAATAAACTGAGAACTAAAATGAGAGCAGGCTGGTGTGGCCAATAACGATGAAACAGATGTACAGTTAAAACCAGGTTTATTACAAAACTAAAAACAAGCTTTTAAAATGCTATTTAAAAAGGTTAAGAAATGGTAAAGTTAGTTAAAACGAGGCACAACGAGGAGGAGGCCCGAATCCCGCAGTAGGAGTCGCTGGGGGGGGAGGGGAAGATCGTCCGGGTCCTGCACTGCCCCACGGATGGCGCACCTGGGCAAAAGGCAAAGGCCAGCACACAAGTCCACTACACCCAACCGCTAAGGCCCAAGGCCACTCCGTATAGCGGAGTGCTGCGTTTGGCGGTACTCACTGACAGGGAGAGCTCCTCGCTCTCCCACTGCTCGATTTGGCCTCTCAGCTTTCCCCCCAAACCGCGCTTGTTCCTCCCGTCCAGCGCAGATCTCAAGCCCTGACACACAGCACACACAGGCCAGCCACACACGATACTCCAAACACTTCAGCCCAAAGCTTCTGATGCACCATGCACCACACACATAGATAGAGCAGTACTCACTGGCAAGGCAGGGTCTGATTGCCCTGCCTCTACGTGTATTCCGTGTTGCCTGGCTGGGGGGGTGGGTGCGCGCTGTTGTCCTTCCTCACACGGTGCTCTCTCCTCTGCCTTCGTCTCAACTGCGTCGACTCTCCTCTTGTTGTCCTCTCTTTCCCGCTGAACAACAGGTGTGTTGATTGCATAGGTGGTGGATTGGTGCGTTGCAGACAGATGGGCGGGGGGGTCACCATAGTAACCAACGAGGGGGCGTAACTCAAAAACATGGGAAAACAAACACAGCAAACCAACAAAAATAGCACACACGCCATCCCCTTGTGACCCGATTACACCCCCCCACACCTTGTGTTTGCCAGTCCCTGCAACACACGGAACTAGTCTTCATAACGGGGCGGTCGTTGTCCAAAGTTCACACGGGTTGAACGACGGGGCAGATCTTGAGGCGCATCGAACTCCTCCTCAGGTACATTTGGCATAAACCCGTATAGTACAGGAAAAGCGGGCCCCGGCGTTTGAGGGGACAGTTCTCTGGGAGGTGGCTCTGGGTCAGCCGGAGGGACAGTACATAATTTTAGGGCATTCCTGTGCACAGTCTGTTCGCGGCCCCCTTTTTCAGGACGTACTTTGTACACAACCCCAGTGTTCCCCACACAGTCCAAAATCACGTGGGGGTCAAGGTCCCACCATGGGCTTAGCTTACCCCTCCCCTCCCGGCGTCTATTGCGTAACCACACACGTTCCCCAGGTACCAGAGGCAAGGCTTTAGCTTTTTTGTCAAACTGTCTTTTGTGTTGGGAGGCTGCATCAGCTGCTCTTTTCCGAGCTAGGACATAGGCCGAAGAAAGTTTATTATGGTGGTCTTTTACCCACCCTGTAAGATTGTATGGCTGCTGCTGGGAACTTAAACCTAGGCCTACGTCTACAGGAAGTCGCAGATGTCTACCGAACATCAGAAACGAAGGGGCATAACCCGTGGCACTATGCACCGTGTTATTATATGCATGAACCAACTCTGGTACGAAACTTTGCCAACAGCGCTGTTTTTCCTCTTCTAAGGAGCGGAGCATATTTAGCAAGGTTTGATTGAAACGCTCAACGGCGCCATTGCCCGCAGGGTGGTAGGACGTGGTACGACTTTTAGCTATTCCATACAAATCACAAAGTTGTTGCATGAGGGCAGACTCAAAGTTTGGGCCACGATCTGAATGAAAACGCGCTGGACAGCCAAATGGCTGTATTATGTGCTTCCAAAGCATTTTTACAGTTGTGTGCGCGGATTGATCAATAGTGGGTATGGCCCAAGCAAAACGAGTGAATTTGTCAGTAGCAACAAGGATATTTTGATATGTGTCGGTGGGTCGGCCTAAGGTCAAATAGTCTAACCCAATAACTTCGAGCGGATAAGTAGTCTCAATTGGGTGGAGCGGAGCTTTTGGCTCAACACGGCTCCTTTGAAGGCAACACATATTACATCTCTCATTAAACGCTCGTACCTCCCCCTCCATACCGGGCCAGTAGAACTGCCGACGGATCCGGGCGAGGGTCTTATCGACGCCGCAGTGGGCCCCAGCCTCATGAAGCTTCCTCCAGACCTCCTCACACCTAGAACTCGGACACACAACCTGATTGTGCTCCTCATGGGTCAGTCCATCAATGACAGTCCGGTACAATAGGTCACCTCTCACCACCAACCTCCTTCCATTGTTGGAGTAGTTTTTGGGCTCGTTGGGGGAGTGTCAAGCGGACAGGCCGTTTTGGGAAGTCCTTCCTCGCAACATACTCCTTGATCACCTGGATGTCTGGGTCAGCATCTTGAGCCTCTCTCCATCCAGCCTCAGGCACTATCTCGACGGCTGCTGCAGTAACTGGTCCCGTGTCAGACTCCTTCAATGGCCCCATGACCTGCCTTACAGGGGCAGGAAATCTGGACAGTGCGTCCGCATTGGTGTTATTTTTACCTGAACGGTATTTCACCGAATAGTTGAAGGAGGCAAGCCGTGCCACCCAGCGTTGCTCTACCGCTCCCAGGTGTGCCGTTTGTAGATGGGCCAGAGGGTTGTTGTCTGTGTAGATGGTCAGCTCTGCTCCGGTCAGAAAATCCTTGAATTTTTCAGTCACAGCCCATTTAAGGGACAACAGTTCAAGTTTAAAAGAGCTGTAGTTGGCATCATTTTGTTCGGTTGGATGGAGGCTTCTACTCGCGTAGGCTATTACCCGTTCGTGGCCATCCTGAACTTGCGATAACACAGCATCGAGCCCCTGATTACTCGCGTCTGTATACACAATGAAAGGCTTATCGTAATGGGCGTAGGCAAGAACAGGAGCCTGAGTAAGTGCAGCTTTTAAAGAGTCAAATGAAGACTGGCACTCAGTAGTCCAAGTCACTTTTTTAGATTGTGACCGCTTATCAGCAGGGATGCCAGTTAAAAGTCTATTCAAGGGGCGTGCCACCTTAGCAAAACCTACAACAAAACGCCGGTAGTACCCCGCTAGTCCAAGGAACGCTCTAACCTGTTTGATAGTGGTTGGGACAGGCCAATCCAAGACCGCTTGGACCTTCCCTGGATCTGGTCTCACACCTTGCTGATCTACCACATGCCCCAGGAAGGTCACTTCTTGCTGTAGGAGTCTGCATTTGTCTGGGCGTAGTTTCAGGCCATGGCGCCACAGTCGCTCAAACACCTGATCCAGATGCTGGAGATGGGAGGAAAAGTCAGCAGAGTATATAATGACGTCATCCAAGTACACTAGCAGTGACTCTGCTATCTGTCCATTAAGGCATTGCTGCATCAATCGCTGGAATGTTGCTGGTGCATTACAAAGCCCGAACGGCATACGCTCAAATTCGTATAAACCGAGCGGCGTGGTAAAAGCTGTTTTATCTTTATCATCAGGGTGAATATCGACCTGCCAGTAACCACTGGCAAGGTCCAGGGTCGAAAACCATTCTGACTGGCTTAGACTGGTCAGGGTCTCTTCAATGCGGGGCAACGGAAATGCATCTTTATGTGTTACGGCATTCAATTTCCTATAGTCTACGCAGAAACGCCAGCTGCCATCTTTTTTGCGCACGAGGACTATAGGGGCAGCCCAGGGGCTACAGCTCTCCCGTATAACCCCCTGTTCGAGCATACCTACGAGGAGGGTCTTCATCTCCTTGTACAGCATGGGTGGAATCGGCCGATACCTCTCTCGAGTGGGGGCAGCATCCCCTGTCGGGATTCTATGCTGCACTATGTTTGTCCGCCCAAAATCCTCTTTGTGCTGCGCGAAAACACTCTCCCACTTCTGTAGTAGGGCGTGGAGCTCCCCCTGCTGTCGTGCAGACAAATCGGGCCGGTCCCCCAGTATGCTCTTCTCTGCAGGTAGTTCGGAGCTTAAGGGCTCAACGTTAGCATTCACCAAAGCCACCTGAACAACTCCGTCCTCTTCCACAGTCAGGGCAAGGTCATTAGTACCATGCACGTCCGAATCGTCGATATAGTAGAGCTGCCCCAATTTTTTAAATCGACCTATGGAAACACTGTATGGATGCGGATTACAAACGCGCACAGGAATTCTACCCCTTTTTACCTCAACCAGGGCCTTTGCAACACCCACGTCACCGACACCGACACCTGGCATAGCTTCTATGAGGGCACAGTAGTCTGCCCCACCAGGACCCATTTTTGCACGGCCCCATACCAGTAACTCACTCTTGGGAGGGACTGTAACGTTACGTTTAGAAGCCAACCTCACATGC